GCAGGAAAGCTGACATTTCGGGCCTAGACCCTTCCGAAACGTCAGCTTTCCTGCTCGTCTGATGCTGCTTGGCCTGCTGTGTTCATCCAGCTCTACACCTTGTTATCCAACATTCTCCACTAGTTGATGTCATACCTATCACACAGGAAGGTCATTATAGTTGTTGGAGGTCAGTCATTTCAGCTCCAGTACATCTCTGTAGAAGTTCCTCAGGATAGTATCCTAGGCCCAATCATCTTCAGTTACTTCATCAATGACCTTCATTTCAGCATAAGGTCAGAAGTGGGAATGCTCGCCAACGATTGAACAATGCTCAGAACTATTTCCGAGTCCTCAGATACTGAAGCAGTCGATCTTCAAATGCAACAGGACCTTGACTGTATCCAGACTCGGGCTGACAAATGACAATTAACACTCGAGCTACACAAACACCAGGCAATGACCATCTCACCACTGTCCTTGACATTCAATAGTGTTACCATTACTGTTTCCCCAACAATGAACAAGCTGGGGATTACCACTGACCAGAAACTGGACTGGGCGCACCCTGTAGGTACAATGGCTCCTACAGCAGGTCAGAGGCTAGGAATATTGCAGCGAGTAACTCACCTATTGACTCTTCTATCACCCATCAACAAACGCACAGGTCAGATGTACGATGGAATACTCCTCACCTCCATGGATGGATGTCGTTTCAACAACACTGATGAAGCTTGACATCATCCAGGATAAATCAACCACCTGATTGGCACCATATCCACAAGCAGCCACTACTTCCATTAACAACATTCAGTAGCAGCAGTGTACTATTTACAAGATATTCACCAATGATCTTTAGACCTTTCAAACCCACCATTTCCATCTAGAAGAACAAGGGCAGCAGATACATGGGAACACCATTACCTGCAAGTTTCCCTCCACTATCCTGACTTGAAAATAAATTGCAGTTCCTTCATGGTCACTGGGCCAAAATCCTAGAACTGTCTTGCTAAAGATATTGTGGGTCTACCTACTGCACGTGGACTGCAGCAGTTCAACAAGGCAGTTCATCACCACTTTCTCAATGGCAACTAGGGATGGGCAAGAAATGCTGGGCATTACACGAGAGAATAAAAATGTGGTCCAACTTTTTTACTTTGCAAGAGTAAGTCAACACATAGGTGTGAGGGGGTTGGGGTAGAAGAAGTGAAATTTTTAAATTTCCCTTCCTCATAGTCCAGTCCCTAATCCACACATCTCAAGTAAAAATCCATTCCTTCTTCCAAATGCTGGCAATACTGGCACACCACTGTGCGAGATTGCTGTAGAGAAAAAAAAATTAATCAACTGTTAAATAGCGAAGCATGTTAAAAGTTGAGATGCCAATAGGCTGTCAAGTGCTTAGCAGAAAGCTAACTAACAGGCCTTGAGCTTGTGCTGAGCTTCAGTGAAACTGTGGAAATTGCCAAAAGATAGATGCAACAGTAAAACAGGAAACCAAAGTAGCAAACAACCAAAAGGTCAGTAGGACTTGCAGATAGGACTTGTCATTCAATCTGGATGTGTTAGTTTTGACTTAAAAAAATTCATCCATGGGGTATGGGGGTCACTGGCCTGTATTTATCACCCACTCCTTGATATCTCTGAGAACACATTGGTGACTTGTGTTCTTGAAACACTGCTGTCCATGTGATATAGGCAGGCCTACAATGCCCATTTGGAAAGGAATTCCATGATTTTGAACCAGTGACACTGAAGGATATAATTTTTAATTCAGGATGGTGAGTGGCTTGAAGGGGAACTTGCAGGTACAACAGAGATGGTACAACCTGCTGAGCATCACTGGTGGAGGACGTGAATGTGGATGTGGTATTCTCGTCAGAAGGTCAAAAGTGAATACACTTGTTGATAACTGCACACATTTCAGAATCATTTGCAACTCCTAACACACAGGAGATTCTGTCTGCATGTAGAAAGACCCAAACAACATTCTATTTGAGCTGATGAATGGCAAGTAATACATGCATCACTCAAGTACCCTACATTAGATTCTCTCTTGTTGGAGATGATCAATCATATTCCCTCGAGTTTAAGAGGCATTATCATCACCATCTCTGGAGATACTGAATGACTCAAAGGTTGATAGGACCAGCAACATAAAAATTGCAGCTAAGACAGCACATCAAAGGCAGTGAATTTTGTAGCAAATAACTCATGACTCCAAATGTCTGTCCACAATCTATACGGCATAAGTCAGGTTTGAATGGAACACACTCCACTTGCCTAAATGTCTCGTACAAACAAAGTTCAACACTACCTGGGACAAAGCAGTCCCCTTGATCATCAATCCATCATCTGCCTGAAACATTCAATACTACTTCACAGTTACAGCAGCATGTACCATCTAGAAAGTACGCTGCAGCAACTCGCCTCTTTGAGAACATCTCCAAAACCTGACTTCCACTTCTGGAAGAAAATGACAGTAAATGCATACGAATATTAGGACTTGAAAGTCTCCTCCAAATCATTTACCACACTGAAATGGAATTTGTTGACCAGTGATGGTTCAATGCCCTGCAACTAATATGAAAAATGAATTAGGAGCAAGGGTAGGCCATTTAGTCCCTTGAGCCTGCTCTGCCACTCAATAAGATCATGGCTGATCTGAAAATCAAATCCACATTTTCACCCACCCCTGAGAACTTTGCACCTTTTGGCTTAAGAAGAATCAGTTTATCTTTGTCTAAAAAATAATGAAGCACTATTTCAAACTTGTACAGAAAAAGTCCTAAGACACTCAACCTTCATTGGAAAAAAATTCAGTTCATCTCTCTTTTAAAGGAGGACCCCTGAATCTTTAAATAGTAACTCCTAATTCTTCCATAAGAGGAAACATCCTCTCCACATCTATCCTATCACGACATCTCAGAATCCTAGACATTTAAATCAAGTCACCTCTTACTCAAAGTTCAACAAATACAAGCTCAGCCTGTCTACCTCTCCTCATAACAGAGGCTAATTCCAACAATTAGTCCAGTAAACCTTCTCTGAATGGCCCCCAATACATCCTTCCTTAAATAAGATGATCAAAACTGTGCATGATACTCAAGATGCAGCCCATTCTTCTCTGGCTGTTCCTTGGTGTCAAGGATGACTTGCATCCACCCTGGGGGCAGGGGTTAACAGGTGTTGGTGGGTTCTGCAGTGACTATATAATACAATCCTGTAGCTGCAAACTCCACCACAGGTGGGGAGGTGCTGTTCAATGAGATAGTTGGATGGGACCACTCTGGATTCTGCGTGCTTTTTCCACTCTTGCCCTTGGCCTCCACGTGCTCTGCTCAGGTGCTTTTTCCCAAGTTTGTGTTCTAGGGCAAGGGATCCGCATGTGTTGGTGAGGATGTTGAATTTGATTTTGGATGCTTTCAGGGTGTCCTTGCTGTGTTTCCTCTGTCATCCCAGTGATTCCTTACCATGTGTAGCTGAGTTGAACGCTTGTTTAGAGTCTTTGGGTACATCGAACATAGAACAGTACAGCACAGTACAGGCCCTTCAGCCCACAATGTTGTGCTGAACTTTTACACTAATCCTAAGGTCAATCTAACCTCCACCCCTACCTTATATTATCATCCATATGCCTATCTAATAGCTGCTTAAATGCCCCTAATGAGGCCGACTTCACCACCCTCTCCGGCAATACATTCCACGCCTCTACCACTCTCTGAGTAAAGAACCTACCTCTGACATCTCCCCTGTATCTAGCTCCACTCACTTAAACTATGCCCCTTGTAATAGCTACCTCCACCCTAGGAAAAAGTCTCTGCCTGTCCACTCTATCTATACCTCTGATCATTTTGGACACCTCTATCAAGTCACCTCTCATCCTTCGTCGTTCTAATGAAAAAAACCCTAGTTCTCTCAACCTTTCCTTGTAAGGCCTTCCCTCCATTCCAGGCAACATCCTGGTAAATCTCCTCTGTACCTTTTCCAACGCTTCCACATCTTTCCTGTAATGAGGTGACCAGAACTGGGAACATTACTCCAGATGTGGCCAAACCAGGGTAATGTGGCTTGCTCACTGCAACTGGTCGTGCATAATCAATGCCTTGATACTAGCCTGGGAGAGGATGCTCAAATTGATAGAACATATTCTCCCATTCTTTTTATATTCATTTCTCATGATAAATGATAACAATTTATAGGCATTTGTAATTACTTGCTATACCTGCATATTGATATTCTGTAATTCATGCACAAGTATGTCCAGATCCGTCTATATCTCAGAGCTCTGAAATCTCTCACCATTTAGGTGACGTGCTACTTTTTTTTTAAATTCTTCTTGCCAGAATGGACAATTTCCCAATAGTACTCCATCTGTCTGATTGTTGCCTACTCACTTCATGTATCTATAACCTTTTTGTATCCTCATGTCTTCTTCACAACTAACTTTCCTACCTATCTTTATGGCATCAGCAACCATACCTACTGTCTCTTCTCTAAGTCATTTCTATAAACTGTCAACAGCTAAGGTCCCAGCACCAACCCTTGCGGCACATGACTCATTACAACTTGTCAACCTGAAAAAGATCCATTTATGACTCCTCTCTGCTCCCTCTTAGTCAGACCAATTTAGTCAGACCATGCCAATATGCTCCCATCTATACCATAAGCTTTTAAGTTCCACAGTAACCTTTGATACGGCATCTTATCCAATATCTTTTGGAAATCTAAATACAGTATATCCACCAGTTTCCTCTTTGTGAACAGTATGTTGTCAAAGAACTCCAATTGATTGATCAAATAAGATTTTCTTTTCACAAAACCATGCTAGCTTTGCCCGATTAACTTAACTGCAATAGCGACTCAATCCATAATAGCACTGCAGGTGAACCCACACCTCATAGGCCACAGTACTTCAAGATGAGTCATCAGCTTCTCAAAAACAATTAATGATAGAAAATTCTAGCTGGCCTTGCAGCATCACACTCAGCTCAAGAATAGATAAACAAAAAAAAACTTACATTTTCTGCTTCAATTCTTGATTTGAATGCAACTCTAACATTTAACGGAGTATCCTCTTGAAAATCTTCCACTTCTCCAAACTTCTAGAAGAAGCAAATAAAAGATAATTTAAAAAGTCAGATAGGAGTCGGATTTTTTTTTCCCCTCACTGTGTCTAACAGCCTTTGAATACCAGTTTATTGTCTCCAAATAGGTAACAGGTCACAGGTTAGTTTTGGAAACATTAATCTCAAATCCAATTAAACTTTATGTGACGCTAAGGAGAGGTATCTTCACTGATCCTAGTTCTTTTAATGCTTCCAGCTACCTATTCAGGGCAATACACACTGTGTCAGTATTGCAGGATTACTGATCATGTCTTTGGCGCTAATGTTGGGGGAAAATTGAACAGAGTGTAACCTATGAGGCTGATTTTTAAAAAAAATACACTTGAAGAACGTCAAAGTTCAATGGTGTTTAGTTCAGCAGAGCAAAAATAAATTCAAATTATCATTTTCACAGATAAGTGAAACAAAGGAAAAATAGTGAATGATGAAGTAGTTTCCCGGAGTTTAAACATCTGTGTGTAAATGTTTTGAACTCATTAGACTGGGCAAATAGGACTCCGCATAATCAAAAGGACAAATATGAACCCAAAACTATGTACCTCTGTTGGACATGTACTGATTTCAGAGAGCTCAATCTAAATTGTAATTAGAGAGAGATACACAGTAGATTTCATGCCAAGGCTATTTTTTTTTAATGTAACCTTCCAAAAGATATCATTTTATACATTAGTTTAAAATGATCTCACATTTTTGCTCAGCCTATTTATTTTGCACATTAATTATTTTCCTATATCTTTTTTAAAATATTTAGCACCTGATGATAGTAATCCCGTAAGGAGATATTGATTGGAGGAGCAACTCAGCCCTACTTAATAGAATGCAATTAAACACAGCTGAAACTGAATGACAGTTGGGTTAATGACTATTCCCATTTGCATTAATCAGATCACTTGCAGTGTTTAACTTATTAATTCCTTCATGACAACTTCTCTCAATGGGACTTGAGCATTTACTAACATAGCAAAATGACGACAAAGGGCCATACGAAAGAGTTCAGAAGGAATGAAAGATCATAAATTTAATTCCAAAACAAGGTTTGTGGCAAAACCTCCTTTTAAAAACTGCTCAGAGAAACAAATGATCTCTCTGGCATCATATCCCTTGTGGGTAGCAAACATGCCATGCAGTCATGAATGCAGTGAACAATGTAAAGACTACGGGCCTTGACAACATCCCAGCTGTTGTGCTGCAAACAAAATAGTAAGGCATAGATATACAATGTCAGTACAGTAGTAACATCCACCCAGCAACGTAAGGAATGATAGAGGTACAAATGCAAAATGCAGAACAAAATCAGTGCTATTTAGTGATATTTATTCACCAATGACCTGATCATCAATGTTTTTCAAAAGGAACATGGTAACAAGAAACCAATCACTCAACCCTGTTCCACAATTCTAAAATATAGTTCATCATCTCGCTCAAAAATTTATTTTTCCTTGCTACTTCTGTATCCCTTCACATCATTAATATCTAGAAATCCACTGAATTCAGTTTTAAAAATACTTAAATGACTGAGCTTCCACAGCTCTGTAGGATGGGGAATTCCAAAGATTTAATACCCTTAAATGAAGAAATTTCTCATCTCAGTCCAAAATGGTCCATTCTGGGGCTTTACCCTCTTAATCAAGGCCACCTACCCAGGGGAACGACCTTCCTGCATCTACTCTCTTTAGCCCTTTAAGGAATGTTAAGTTTTAATGAGTGATCTCTCGCCATTCTAACCTCCAAAGAAACTCGCCCAGACTCCTAAATCTCTCCTCACAGGACAGTCCTGTCATCTCATTAATTAATACGGTGAACCTCTGCTGTGTGCCACCCTTAAGGAAGGGAACCAAACTGTGCACAATACTTCAGAAGCAGTCTCCCTAAGGTTCTGAACAAATGAAGCAAGGTGCTTTTATCGCTGTCTCAGATCCTCTTACAAAGAAGGCAAACATGCCAGTTGCCTTCCTACATCTGCATGTTAGCCTTCTTATGAACAAGAACAACCAGATCCCTTTGGACATCAGAAATAGCTAAACTTTCATAATTTAAGGAGTATTCTGCATTTTCATTGTCCCTAGGAATGTAGATAACATTTTCAAATTATATTTCATGCTCATGCCCACATACTAAGCCCAACCAAATCGCTTTGATACCTTTTATCATCAACCTCACTGCACACATTCCCAGACAGTATTGTGGTACTTGCAAACATGGATGATCTGATATTCCTCACATCCACTTTCCTGTCTTTTCCCCGTAACCTTTGATTTCCCCTACTGATCAAGGATCTATCTAACTCAGCCTTGAATATATAGAGACCCTGACCCACAGCTGTTTGTGGCTTGGTGTTCCAAAGACATTCAACACTTTGAGAGGAGAAATCCCTCCTCATCTCCGTTTTATATCAGTGCCCTTTATTCTGAGGCTATGCCCTCTAGTCCGAGACTTTCCAATGAGAGGAAATATTCCCTCAGCATTTACTCTGTCAAGTTCCTTGAAAATCCTTCATGTTTAAATAAGATCACATCTCATCCATCTAAATTTCAATGAGTTGAGTCCCAAACTGCTTAATCTTTGCTCATAAAACAGTCCCTATTTCATGTGGCCTTATGGTCTTATTGAAGGAATGGATTTGAGACAAACATGCCACTTTGATCCATCTAATTCCTAAAATCGTCTGCTGAATTCCTCTGCTAACTTCCTCATGCGGCATGGGAATCTTCTGGGTGGAACAAAAACAGAAGTCGCTGGAAGCTCAGTAGGTCTGGCACCAAGTGTGAAGAAGAAGTCAGCGTTAACGTTTCGGGTCCGGTGACCCTTCCTCAGAACGGTTCTCAAACTCAACTAAACTCACCACATAAATACAGTGCTACAAGAGTAGGTCAGAGGCAAGGAATCCTGTGGTGAGTAACTTACCTCCTGACTCCCCAAAGCCTGTGCCCCATCTACAAGGCACAAGCCAGGAGTGTGATAGAAAACTCACTACTTGCCTGGATGAGTGCAGGTCGAAAAACACTCGAGAAGTTTGACACCATCCAGGACAAAGCAGCTCGCTTGATTGGCACTACTCCACTCATACATTCACTCCCTCTACCACCGATGCTCAGTAGCAGCAGTGCGTACGATCTACGAGATGCACTGCAGAAATTTACCAAAGATCCTTAGACAGCACGTTCTATACTCACGACCACATCCATCTAGGTGGACAAGTGCAGCAGATATATGGGAATACCACCACCTTCACATTCCCCTCAAAGCCACCCACCATCTTGACTTGGAAATATAATCGCTGTTCCTTCACTATCTCCAGGTCAAATTGCTGGAATTGTATCCCTAATGGCATTGTTGGTCAATCCACACCAGGTGTACTGCAGCAGTTCATGAAAGCAACTCACTACCACATTCTCAAGTGCAACTGGGGAAGGGCAATAAATGCTGACCAGCCAGGGATGACCACAGCCCACAAATGAATAAAAAAAAAATCCAAATCTTTGTGGGGCCATCTCTCAACTTAACCGCTTCAAATCAGCTTGGAGGATTAGTTCACGATCAGCACCAGAGAGTTCACCGAGTCAGGATTTGAACAAAACCAGTGAGGCTTTTGCTCAAATAAAGTTTACAGTCTTAACAACAACTGTCATTACATGAACAAACTTCATAATTTTACTTGCTAATGCTTGCTGATGCATTATACATCAGTAGTTGACAAGAGAGGGGCAATTTTGCAAAATGCAACAAAGCCTGCATTTGCACCAAGCATGGCTGGGTGCACAAAAAAAAAGATTCTTGTCTAGAATTTTTTTTCTCAAAATATCCCATTTGAATTTATTGTAGATATTCTCACCCCTTAATCTCTCATTCAGGGGCAAATGGAAAGAAGATTTTTAGTTGTTACGGCCTCAAAACCCATTTGCACAAAAACAAATCAGTTCGGAGGAAGAGTCACTCAACCCAAAATGTTATCTCCGATTTCTCGTCACTGATGCTGCCAAACCTGCTGAGCTTATCCAGCAATTTCTGTTTTTGTCTGTGAACAAATCAGCTGGGTTGTGTCGATCACATTAATGGATTCTTCAAACTGTGAATACTGCAGCATTAACTTTCCATCCAATTCTACAGTAGTTGCTGAAAGAAGTCTCTGGACAAAGATTCCAGTCATCTTGCTAGTGTGAAAGCATCAAGTGATGTGTTCAGGGTTGTCATTGTTATTTCTTTTTTGTTCTCAAAGTTTTTGAATAAAGAATCATTGACCACAAACCACTGGTCCTTTCATTACTTCATCTGCAAATGATTTCTTTTGTGGATGTGAAATGATGCTCAGTGCAGGCCTTACCTTTTCTGCTGGTTGAGAAAAACAAAATCATGATTGGACTTGCAAAACAACCTTCAATTTATCATTTTTCTTTATCCAAAGAACACTGTTCAAAGGAAAGCCATCCCTGAATTTCAAATTCCCCTTTTTACTTATCAATATATTTGGTATCATGTAGGCAAACACTTGTCTTTGACAGTTGTGAACAGAAATTCATTTTCCCGTTCTGTGTGGAAGTTGCACATATTAGTTTCTTTTTAGATGGCCCAGGTTAACCCATCATTATTGCTTTACCTTGTAGCTCATGATGTCACTGTGCTGCTGGATACACTGCAGGTAGACCGCTGGATCTGTGCTTCTGGAACACATGGAAGTTGCTTGCTGCTTTCAAACTGAAGGCACCTGTGTTCACTTTTGTGACCATGATTTATTTATGTGGCCCCTCATCAGCTTGCATTGCTCAAATATTAGATACAGGACGTTGTAGTGTTCCCTATAATTTTTATTCATCCTGCACTTACCTATTAGGTAAGTAGCTGAAGAAATAAAGTTCAGGCCTGCAAAGGATTGGCAGAGTGCCATGAGCTGAGAAGCTTTTGCAGGCTCTGCATGGACATGATGGGTTGAATGGCTTCCTATGTTTATCTGTCAAAACAATTGCGAATTTTCAAATTTTTTTCTTAATTTTGATTTGGAGCCGTGAACTGAGAGCTGAAAATCATTTTACTCTGTGGGCAGTGGCTTGCATTTAAAAAAAAACAGACAAGCTGTGGTTTGTTTGAGGCCAAGTCTGAAATTAATTGGTTGAGAATTGGTTCCAGCAAGTTTAGGAAAGACATTATGTTCTAGCAGATGGCAGATACTGAACAGAAAATGGAAACTCATGGGGAAATGCTCAGTCTGACAGGAAGAGGTCGGAGTTTTGAACTAGGTTTTGTATTATGTTTTCTGTGAGGAGTTCTTGCTGTTGACGTTACAGCATGAAGATTTGAAAGCTCCCTGCCTAACCTCCCATTGACAGCTATTGCAATTTCAGAGAACAGAAATCAAGTATCACGGAGTTCCTCTGCATGAACTAAAATAAGTGGCCCTGATCAACATCTTCAGAAAATCTACAGGAAACAATCAACTACCCTTGTAAAACAATGCATCATGATAACCACTGAAGTAATCTACCCAGTTTTGTTATTTTCTTTGCTAGAATGTTTCAGGTCACCGGACCAGAAACATTAACTCTGGTTTTTTCTTCACAGATGCTGCCAGACCTGCTGAGCTTTTCCAGCAACTTCTGTTTTGTTCCTCATTTACAGCATCCACAGTTCTTTCAGTTTTTATTTTGTTATTTTATTTCTCCCTTAACTGTGTTGATTTGTCTGTCTGTCTTTTCTGTGAATGGCTGAAAATAAAGGTTACTTGTTTCAAACAGATATTAATTATTTTGTTGTATAATTTTGCTCTCCAAGGTTACTATATTATTAATAAATTGGTAAATCTTTTCTTTCGCCTAAAAACTGATGTTGAGAATTAGTTATTCACAGGGTCTAGGATTGGTTATTCAAAAAAAGACCAGTTAAGACGCATAGGGGTCAACTGAGGGTCTTTGAAGTTTTTAATTTTACAGTGTTGGCAATATAGAGGTAGAAAGAGTTGGTTCGGCTCTCTGTCTTTGTCTTGTAACATTAGCATTGGCTTCACACTGTCACTTTTAAAGATCTGTGCACCCATACGCTCAGGCGCCTCTGCTCCTGCACCCCCTTTAGAATTTTACCCCATGTGTTATATTATCTGTCCATGTTCTTCCTATCTAAATACATCATCTCACGCTTCTCTGCATTAATTACAACTGCCATCTAACTGCCCATTTCATTAGCTTGTCAATGCCTTTTTGAAGTTCGACACGGTCTTCCTCAGTTTGCATTGTTTACAAGTTTTGTATCATCCACAAACTTTAATATTGTCCCCTCTAATATAGATCTCATATATAAATCAGAAAAAAGCAAGGGTATCAATACCAACGCCTGGAAAATTCCACTACAAACCTTCTTCCTGCATGAAAAATATCCGTTTTTAATTTATTTCTATCAGGCAACCAATTTTGAATCTGCATTGCTGCCGTCCCTTTTATTTCATGAGCTACAACTGTACGCAAAGGTCTACTAAGCAGGATTGAACACCTTTTGGAAGTACATGTACACCACATCAACAGTATTGCCCTCATCAACTCTCTCTGTTACCTCTTCAAATCACACCAGTAAATCAGTCCAACATGATTTTCCCTTTAGAAAACAATTCTGGCTTTCCTTAATTAACCCACATTTGACCATGTGACTATTAATTCTATCCAGGATTCTGGTTTCCAGAAGTTTGCCCACAAAAAAAAAATTAAACTTAATGGTCTGTAGTTGCTGGGATTTCTTCTAACCTTTTTTTAAATAAGGGCACAATGATTGCAATTTTCAATTCTTTGGCACCACCACCAAAACCATCCTACCACCCCACTGCCTAAGAAATTACCACACTCACTTCCTTCAATATCCTTGGGTTCATCTCATATGGTCCAGGTACTTTTTCAACATTAAATACCAACAGCTAATCCAAAACCTTCTCCTGATTCATTTTGAACCGTATAGCAACAGCATTTCCACCTCTGCCACCATGCTTCCTTGGTAAAGGCAAATACAAAATATTCATTCACCCCATAAACCATGCTTCCGCCTCCAAGTGTAAATCTCCTTTATGGTTCCGAATCCGCCCAACTCCTCCTTTTACTATTCATAAAGGCTTTGTGAGTCCCTCATATGTTAGCTACCAGTCTTTTTTCCACAAGCTCTCTTGGCTTCTTTCACTTGCTTTTTCACCTCCCTCAAACATTTTATAGTTAGCTTGGTTCACAATTTTATTTTCTACTTGACACCTAAGCATTTTTTTCATTCTTTATCTTAAAACTGTATCTCCTTTATCATTCAGGTGCCTCTGGATTTGTTTGCCCTACTTTTCCCCTCTGAGGAAGGGAATATACCTTGTCCAAACCATCTCTTTTTTGAAGGTAACATATTGTTCAGTTTCTCCACTAACCTTTAGGACCAATCCATCCGGCCCAGATCTGTTCATACCCTATTGAAGTCAGCTCTCCCCCATGGCCCACTGTCATCTTAAACCACATGGTATAATGTTTAACTTCCCCTAAATGTTCCCGGTTTATACTTGATCTACCCGGTATATCTAGTCCCAAAAATCAGGTCCAACAGTGCCTCCCTTCTTGACTTGAACATATACAACAAAAGAAGTGTTCAGGAGGATTTTAGCAGAACTCTTGCCCCTTTCTGCCCTTAAAACTACCACTATCCCAGTCTGTAGACAGGTAACTGAAGTCCCCCATTATAACAACTTCAATGCTTGCACTTCTCATGATTTAGTTGCAGATTTGTTCTTTTACACCCTCCCAGGTGATTTAGTGGTACAGTATGTCACAAAATATATAAACAGATAGGCAGTGCAGAAAAAAAAAAATCCATAAAATGTGGCCTAAAGATGCCATAACTGACATCCACCACTTACAACTGGCCTGTCATTGCCTCTGGGAATTTTTCCATTTTTCATTCATTCTTAGGATGTGGGTTTGCTGGCTGGGCAAAAATTTATTGCCAATCTTTAATTGCCCTGGAGAAAATAATGGGGAGCTGCCATCTTGAAGTGGTTCACTCCTTGAGATATAGGCACATCCATAACGTTGCCAGGAAAGGATTTTTGGGATTTTGATTCAGCAAGTGATGGAATGACAATATCATCCCAAGTCAAGATGGTGAGAGACTTGCAGGGATACTTGCAGATGATGTTCCAAGAATGACATTTTCACCATAGAATTATTAAACTGATGCACAGCACACATGATGGCAACTCAAATTTGACTTTTCAATCAAGTTGAGGTGTGTATTATATGCAGACAAGTATGGTATGTGTTTGGTCTGCATCGATTTTTGTTACTTTATAACATTTCTTGCACTAAATTCTGCATTTCTCACCCAACATTTGCGGCTAAAGTCACACAATCTAGATGTTCATTATAGCACTTTCAGAAAGGAATAGTAAATAATTGGTAACATGATATAAATTCAGAAGCATTGTGGAAGGTACTTGCGAGCTGTGGGCATTGAACCTATTTCAGCAGATTTGAGACAACAGAATAGCCCGATGGCAGGATGAAGACCAGATACAATAGCAAGTAATTGACAAGTGTTTGAAACTATCAACATTATTCATTGTGGCTTAACAAGAAAATAAAAGATGTAGTTTGAGTAGCTATGTTAGTAGATTAATTTGAAGCCTTTGGTGATTCACAGATTAGTGGACTACCCTCCCCAACTATTCCTCAATGGGAAACTTGCGTTGTGTGTGCACCAACTGCATGCTGCCACTACAGAACTGTCAGGTAACAGGCCAAGAAATTATAGAACACGAACGCATTAAGCAACCTAAAATAGACTTGAAAACCAGAACAGACTGGGAATATGAACTTTAGATTGTCCAAAACAATCTACTCACAAGACAATTTCCTATCCCCACAACACTTAACCCCAATAATAAGTCTTTCTCATTGACAATATAACTTATGAACTTCAATTTTTGATTATGTTGTTTAAATTACAGTTAAACAGCAAAATATAGCAAGGGGAGTTTGTGGACCCAGGATGTTATGAATGCTTGGAACTGAACAAAATCAAAACATATGCAATCTTTTGCCAATTAGATTACTTAAAATGTCAATGTTGAATTAAATTTAGGTCTGGACTTACTGAGAAATGTGGCATTAATTCATCCTTTTCCTCCTGTGTGAAGCCGAATACTGTTAAAGTTTTGGGCCTGTGATCAACCACCATGTGCATCTGCGCGCCTCTTCCCCTCACGCTCCTGCCTCGACCTCGGCCTCGTGTTTGCATAGTCTTACCACGTCCTGCAGGAAGAATGCCCAGTCTTGCAGCCTGAAAAAGACAACAGATTTGGTTACGTCCTTTTGCAAAACACAAACATTGCTAGTTTGAGCCAGTGTCAGTGATATCTTTGTACAACCTGATTCTTCATTGTCAGAACAGCAAAATACAAAAGAACTAAGGAATGTACAAGCAAACCTTGAAGAACACAGGTAGATAAACTGTCAGTGAGAAATAATCAAGGATAAATGAAACAAAAATCAATCAAGCAGGAAAACAAGTAAAATAAAGAAATTCAACTAATCAAACTAGTGCAAATATTTATGAAATTATTTTAGCTACCACCTTGGTTTCTTGAGTAAAGTGAATGTTTTCTTCATGGCAAAGCATTTTTTGCAATAATATTTTCCACTATATGCCTGAGTTGCATACACTTCTGCCCTTCAAAGACAAAATCAACAACTGCTTAAGTGGGACAGGTAAACTTTTGGGAACTCTTTATTCAAAGGTTACAAAAGCATATACATCACTAGAAAGCTCGTACTTGTACATCTTACTCAGTCAACTAACACTCCATCTACTGTGTTACATGACAGATGATACATTATCCTGCCTAATGTATATAGATTATGGACACATCCATTTAAAGTCACAGTATAACAGCCGGCCACTAGGGCAAGCCAAAACCTTGATTTTGTGTCATTTTGTAATTTAATGCCTTCCAATTGAGGCAATGCAGACTAGAAATCACAGCATGTTGTCTGTCCATTCAATTAATAGAATTATAATTGACAGCACTCGGCATTTTGCTCTGAACTTATTGCTCCCACTAAATAAAACTTCCAAAGGTCACACTTTTAGAAAAGATCTAGGCCCGAAACGTCAGCTTTCCTGCTCCTCTGATGCTGCTTGGCCTGCTGTGTTCATCCAGCTCTGCACCTTGTTATCTCAGATTCTCCAGCATCTGCAGTTCCTACTATCTCATAAACTGAATGATTTTTTTCACAATATACCAAAGACAATGTTAAAGGATGAACAATTTAAAATAATTTTGTTGACCACAACCAAACTGCAGCTTCCAGAACATTTAGTGTCACCAACAGAATGCCAAGTTCCAAAGTACAAATGTTGGACATTGTCATACGTTCAACAGATTACAGCAGTTGCTTTTATTTATATCCATCAAGAAAATAAAAGTAATAGTGATTAATATAAACAAAGGCAGAAGCAATTTCTGTAATGCTTTTACCAATACTGAAAGTTGGAGAGAGCATTCCCCCAAACCACTATGTCCTGCAAAGGGCAAATCAGATTAACATTAACAGCATGCACTTAGTAGTTTTAAAATAGCACAAATCCCAGGACAATACACAGTACCACTTAAATAAAATTTGACACCAAACCCCACAATTTCGACCAGAAAGGTTTAGCACAGCATCTCAAAGGAAAGTTAGTCATAAAGGTTTAAGAGAAGAAATTCCAATATAAGACAGCTGCCAACTACTGGAGGAGAGAAGCAAACAAGGAAACACCAAAACTAGGAGGAGTTCACAGGTTTCATCGGGCAACTGGAAGTTACAGAGTCATAGACCTGTACAGCATGAAAACCATTCTGTCCAATTTGTTCATGCTGACCACATAAATTAATCTATTCCCATTTGCCAACATTTGGCCCATATCCCTCTAAACCCTTCCTATTCATATACCCATCCCGATGCCTTTCAAATGTTGTAATTTACCACTTCTTCCGGTAGCTCATTCCATGCACGCATCATCCTCTGCATGGAAAAGTTGCTCCTTAGGTTCCTTTTAAATCTTTCCCCTCTCACCCTAAACCCTATGCCCTCTTTGGACTCCTCCACCCTGGGGAAAAGACCTTGGCTATTCACCCTATCCATGCCCCTCATGATTTTAAAATCCTCTGTGAGGTCACCCCTCATTTTCCGACGCTCCAGGGAAAATAGCGCCAGCCTTTTCAGCCTCTCCCTATAGCTCAAATACTCCAACCCTGGCAACATCTTTGTAAATCTTTTTTGAACCCTTTCCAATTTCACAACATCCTTCTTATAGCAGGCAGACCAGAATTTGAACAGTGTATTCCAAAGTGGCCTAACCAATATCCTGTACAGTCACAACCTGACCTCGCAACTCCTGTAATCAATGTACTGATCAATAAAGGCAAGCACATCAAATGTCTTCTTCACTATCCTATCTACCTGTGATCCCACTTTTAGGGAACTATGAACCCGCACTCCAAGGTCTCTTTGTTCAGCAACACTCCCCAGGACCTTACCATTAAGTATATAAGTCGTACCCCGATTTGCCTTTCCAAAATGCAGCACCTCACATTTATCTAAATTAAACTCCATCTTCCACTCCTCAGTCCATTAGCCCATATGATCAAGGTCCTATTGTACAGTACTCTGAGGTAACTTTGTTCGTCATCCACTATACCTCCAATTTTGATGCCGTCTGCAAACTTACTAATCATACCTCCTATGTTCACATCAAGATCATTTATATAAATGACAAAAAGCAATGGACCCAGCACTGATCCTTGTGGCACAGAGTGAGGGAAGCAAGACCACGGAGGGACTTGAACACAAGGAAGACAATTTTGAAGTAGTTCCAGCTTTGCCAGAGTGGAAGCCATTAAGATCAAAGAGTAGAGGGGATAATGGTAAAACAAGATTTTTGAGAATTGGGATACAGCAACAGAGTTCTGCATGAGCCCAAACTTGCAAAGAGCAAAAGCAAAAAAAAACTTGAGGATAGCTAGTTTCAGTGAATTGAAGAGGGATCTGGACGTGTCGGTGGAAATCAAAGACTGGCAGGTAAAAGAAAATAACATGTTTCAGAGGAACTACTTTGCATGTAAACTATACAGATTTCCACAAGTCTGACAGGAAGTGGAACCAAAGTTGGTGCTCACTGCATAGCTAAAAGCAACAATTAAAATGAACAATGATACAGGAGACTTCAAGAATTGCAAAAGAAATGAGGGGCAAAAATTATATCTGTCTTAGAGTAGCAGAAAAAGTACATAAGGCCTTTAAAAAAATATGCTATGTATCAGTGGCATCAAGACGCCTTTACAACATTAAAGTCAATGAAATGCAGGGGGAAATTCTCCACTGGATGGAGCCATTTCTAACACAAAAGGAAGACAGACATGGCTGTTCGAGGTTAGTCTTCTCAGCTCCAGGGTATCACTACAGGAGTTTGTTAGGGTAGTGTCTAAGACAAAACTATCTTCCGCCATTTCATCCATGACTTCCCATAAAGTCACAAATGGGGATGTTCGCTGATGGTTGTTGAACACCATTGTGACTGTTCAAATACTGAAGCAGTCATATCAAAATACAGCAAGACCTGGACAATATCCAGGTATGACTGACAAGTGGTAAGTAACATGTCAGAGCATAAGAGCTAGAACTGCAAATAGGCAATTTTGCCCCTTCAGCCTGCTGTACCATTTGATACGATCATGACGGATTTCATTTCAGCCTCAACTCCACTTTCTGGCCCCCTTCCCATATCACTTTAACCCATTAAATGGAGAAAAAGCGCAACACGAAGGGACTTGAGCATTCTTGTGCACAAAACACAGAAAGCTAGCACACAGGTGCAACAGGAAATCAAGAAGGCGAATGGAATGTTGACTCTTATTTCAAGGGTGTTGAAGTATTAGAGTAGGGAATTCCTCCTGCAACTGTACAAGATACTCATACTACTGTGAACAGTTTGGTCCTCTTACTTAGGGAAAGATGTTTCATTGAAGGCTGACCAGAGCAGGCGCACCAGGATGATCCCAGTCAGGAGGGATGGTCTTTTGAGCAAAAGCTAAACAGGTTGGGACTCTACTCACTGGAGCTAAAAAGAATGAGTGATGATCTCATTGAAACACACAGGAATCTTAAGGGGCTTGACAAGGCAAATGATGAGAGAGGATTCTTCCCCTTAAGGGAGAGTCTGGGACCAGAGGGCACATTCTTAGAATAAAGAGGTGTAATTTAAGAGTAGGATGAGGAGGAGTTTCTTCTCAGGGTTGACAGCCTTTGGAACGCGTTGCCACAGAGGGCTTGGGGGCAGAGACCTTGTGTATATTTGAAGCTAAGATAGATAAATTTTTGATCAGTAGGGCAATCAAGGATTACAACAAAAACACAGATAAGTGTTTCTGAGAAATATCAGATCTCTTTCACTACAGTGAATTGTTTAGTCCTCTTATTTACGGAAACATATTTCATTGGAGTCTGTTCAGAGGAGGTGCACCAAGATGATCCCAGTTAGGAGGAACTGTCTTTTGAGTCAAAGATAAGCAGAAATAGCTATGATCTTACTGAATGGTGGAGCAGGCTCAAGGGACTGTACAACCTACACCTGTTCCTACTTATGATCTAATCATTACCAATTAAAAATCTGTGCATCTGCTCCTTAAATCTATTCAGTGTCTTGGCATCCATGACAGTCCAGGGTAGTGAATTCCACAGACTCACTCCCATACCGGAGAAATTATTGCTACTCATCTGTTCAAAAACTGCCACCACTTAGCTTAAAACTATGACCTCTCTTTCTACATTGCTCCACAAGGGGAAATATATGCTCTTTGACTACTTTGTCAATTCTTTTTGCATCTCATATACCTCAATTACATCTTCTCTCATTCTTGTAAACATGAGTAGGTATAGACCTAAATTGCTCAATCTCTCATGAGGAGAGGAATCTTTCAACTCTGGAATTAATCCCGTGAACCATTTCTGGATTGCCTCTAATGCAATTACATACTTCATCATGTAAGAGCACCAAAACTATATGCAGTACTTCAGTTGCAGTTTTCACCAAAACCCCTGTACAGATGCAAAAACACTTCCCTACTTGTATATAGTCCATTCCTTTAGCAATAAATGCAAAAAATCTATTTGCCTTTATTAGCTACCAAACCTGCTGGTTCATCAAGTGCTAGGCAATGACCAATTCCAACGCAAGAGAGAATCTAACCATCATTCCTTGATATTCACGACAATAACGTCACTGAAACCGTACTATCAACATCCTGGGTTTACCATTGGCCAGAAACTAACTCAACTAGACTAGCCATGTGAAAACCTTGCTACAACAGCAGGTCAGAGGCTAGGAATACTACAGTGAGAAACATACTTCCTGACTCCCCAAAGCCTGTCCATCATCTACAAGTCAGGAGTGTGATGGTTACCTGGATGAATGCAGCTCCGACAACACTTAAGAAGCTTGACACTACCCAAGGCAAAGCAGCCCACCTAATTGGCACCACATCCCCAAACATTCAGTCACTCCAGCAGCAGCAATCATCTACAAGATATACTGGAGAAATCTGCCAAAGATCCTTTGACAACACCTTCCAACCCACAACCAATTCCATCCAGAAGGAAAAGGGCAGCAGATACATGGGAAAGCCACCACCTGCAAGTTCCCCTCTAAGCTTCTCACCATCCTGACTTAGAAATATATCGCCCTTCTTTCATTATTGCAGTGTCAAAATTCTGCCATCCTTTCCTGAACGTATACTGTGGATGTCCCACACCACATGGACTCTAGCATTCAAGCAGGCAGCTCACCAGCACCTTCTGTAGGGGAGGTAGGGATGGATAGTAAATGCTAACCTAGCCAACAAAGTTTACATCCCCTCAATACATAAAGAAAAAAAATGAAACAAATGACTTCATAAACAGAAGCACAGAGGACAAAAGCAAGGAGATTGTGTTGAATGCTTCTAATCATTGGTTATGCCCCAGGTTATTCCCACATATCGGAAGGAAACTAAGGCCGAAGAGAAGACAAAGATTTGCGAGTAATTGTTCAAAGGTTACGTGGTTTCGTGGCATGAAGAGATTGGAAAAGCTTCTCGGAGAAGTGAAGACCAAGGATTTGATTGAGCATTTGTGGAAGAATTTTCCATTAGTATCAATAATTAGAGGGCACAAATGTAATATTATTGACAAAACAACAGTGAATTTAGACTTTTTAAATATGGAATTAAAAAATCTGTAATGTACTGTCTGAAGAGAGGTGGAGACAGAGATGCCATGCAGTGTATTCCAAGCCAATAAACAGCTTGAGACGCCTTAGGCCGTTTTTTAATATAAAAAGTTTGAATAATAGAAGCAGCATGAATGGGTGGAGTCCGCCTCCCACAGAATCAGGGTTTTAGTTTAGCTTTCAGCAGTTGTTCAGGTTTTGAAGCTGCCATATGTCTCTTCCTTATACAGCAAAACAATGGAGTTGTCTCTCTCTACCAGAATTTTCTCTTGATGTTCTTTCCTCCTGGACTAGAGAAACACTGCATGTGAGACAATCTATTTTACTGAATTTGTCTTTGCCAAGGTTGTGTTTATGGGGCGTTACTGTATTGGAACAGTTGCTGTTTAGTAGTTAAATAATTGATTATTTTGTTAAAAGGAGACTTTAAGGACTGCAGATACTGGAAGCCAGCATCTATAGGTGCGAAGCTGGAAAAACACAGCAGGTCAGGCAGCATCAGAGAAGCTGGAAAGTGAACATTTTGAGCCAAAACCATTCATTAAGACTGTGGAGGGGTAGGAGGACCCAGAAATAAAGAGGGGGGGGGAGGTCTGGGGGGGGGGGGGGGGGGGGGCGTTGATAGGAGAGATGGTGATAGGCGGGTCAGGTAGGGGGTTATTGTGATTGGTCCATGGGAAGGTTGGAGTGGATAGGTGAGTAGGAAGATGAACAGTTCAGGTCAGGTAAGGTCAGGTCAGGAGAGGGCCAGACATGAGATAAGGCCGGGGGTGGAAGGATTTTGAACCTGGTGAAGTCAATGTTAAGGCCATTGGGCTGTAAGCTTCCAAGACGAAATATCAGGTGTTGTTCCTCCAGTTTACATTTGGCCTCACTGACAGTGGAGGAGGCCAAGAATGGGCATGTCGTCAGGAAAGTGGGAGGGGGAATTAAAATGGATGGAAACGGAAGGTTGGGTTGGTTGATGTGTGCAGAGTGCAGATGCACTGCGAACTGGTCCCCGACTCTGTGTTTGGTCTCGCCGATATAGTGCAACGGGAGCAACAGATAAGGTTGAATGAAGTACAGGTGAATCTCTGCGCAATCTGGAAGGACTGTTTGGGGCCTTGGACAGAGATGGTCGAGAGGTATAGGGGCAGGTGCTGCACCTCTTGCGGTTGCAGGGAAAGGTACCGGGTGTGGAGGAGAAGTTTTTTTTCAGAGGGGGTGTGCGAGTGTAGAAATGACAAGGGAATCGCAGAATGATCAGTCCCTGCGGAAAGCGGTGGAGAGGGAAATATCTTTTTGGTGGTGGGGTCTGATTGTCGGTGGCAGAAACGTTGGAGAAGGATGAGTTAGATTTGGAGATTGATGGGGGTGGTACGTGAGGACTAAAGGGGACTCTATCCTTTTTGCTGTTGGGGGTGTGGAGGGATTTGAGGGCAGAATTGTAGGAAATGGAAGAGATGCGATTGAAGGCATCCTTAATTATAGAGGAGAGGAAATTACGGTCCCTAAAATAGGAGGATATCTGGGATGTCGTGGTGTCAAACGGCTCATTCTGGGAGCAGAGGCGGAGGAAATAGGAGTACGGGACAGCATTTTTGCAAGAGGGTGGGTGACAGGAGGTGTAGTTGAGGTAGTTGTGGGAGTCAGTGGGTTTGAAATGGATGTCGGTGATGAGTTGGTTTCCGGAGATGGAGACAGAGAGGTCCAGAAAGGGGAGGGAGGTGTCAGAAGTAGCCCAGGTGAATTTTGATGGTGGGGTGGAATGTGCTGGTGAAGTTGATGAACTGCTCGAGCTCCTCATGGGTGCAAAAGGCCGCACCGATGCAGTCAACAATATAGTGGAGAAAGAGGTGAGGGATGGTGCCGGTGTAGTTGTGAAAGAGGGATGTAGGAAGAGAGAGAGAGTTGCAAGGAGGCGGAGTTGCAAGAGTATGGGGGTGGGGCAATTTTTTAAAAACTATTCATTGCAGGACTTATTCAAGACAGCAATTAGGCCACATCCCCTGCAGCAAAGAAATAAAATAAGTTGCGCGCACACTCATATACACACACACATCAATGGGCCTCAGTCAATCACAGGATAGCCCCATCCAAACTGCCTGCTCCAGAGTCGCCATGAAAGAGATCTACTGGGGATTGCGAACTACACTTTAAGAACCTGGAAGACACAGACATTAAAAAGATGACCATTACCTCCACTTGGAGCTGATTCAACTTTTTACGCAAGTCTGTTGTGTCCTCCCCTGAATTCAGCTTCTTGTGGAAATCCAGTTCTGCATCCAGTAATTCCTTCTGTGCCTGAACAGTTAAAATCAAAAATAAAAACATTTAAGGTACGTTACTTCATGGGATGTGGGTATCATTGGCAAGGCCAGCATTTGTTGTCTATCGTTAACTGCCTTTGAATTGAGTAACTTGCTGGACCATTTAAAGGGGGCAGTTCAGAATCAACTGTACTATTCTGGATCTGGAATCCCACGTAAGCCAGACCAGGCAAGGATGGCAAACCATCTTTCCGAGAAGACATTAGTGAACCAGATGGGTTATGCACAAATCGATAGCTGTTTCATTACATCATTGAGACCAATCTTATATTCCAGATTTATTACTGAATTTAAATTCCACCAGCATGTGAACTTATGTCCTCAGTTACTCGTCCAGAGACATGACCACTACATCACCTCATCACCAAATAAAAAATTAGTAAGATATATTTTAATACATTACAAGATATATAATCTTTACATCAATGCATTCCTTAACCAAAACCAAATAAACCTTTATCCTATAATAATCTGTGGGGTATTGTGTGTGCAAAATTAATTGTCACATTTCCCCATTCCATATCGCAGGATCCATTTCAAAAGCTATCTAATTGGCAAAAGCGTTTTGTGATGTATTGCAGTCATGAGAATGATTATGTAAATATCTATGAGAAGATGGTGGGTTCCAAATCCCCCTGTGGAGCCATCCAGCACAACGTAGGCTGGCATTCCTTTGCAACATTGAGGCTGTGTTGTCAGAGATGCTGTTTTTTGGATGAGATGTTAAACCAAAGCTCTGTCAAGTTTGCACATGTGAATGTAACAAATTCAATGCCACTATTTGCAGCAGGTCAGATATGTTCTCCCAGTATCCCAACCAATGTTTATCCCTTAATCACCATGTTATCTGATCATTATCTCAATGCTGCTCATCAGTCCTTGTTGTGTGCATACTGGCTTCCCTGTTTCCTACAGCCTCAATTAAATTCCAAAAGTAGCTCCTAGGCTATAAACCACCCAGATATGCTTAAAGGAATCAAATAAACTCAAGTTATTTATTTTGTCACAGTCGTGCTATGCTTTGTGTTAATTCCAGCATCTGGTCAACTACCCTTTGGCTAAGTTTCTTTAATGTTCTTGTGGCAAAGTGCACAGCAGAGTCAAACTTGCTGTGATGCATGACAACAATTGTTACTAAAAGATTAACGGTTGGCACCCATTACTCATCACAGGAATTGCAACGGTGTGTAAAATGTTTTTGTACATTTATTACTAACTGTGTCTCATTTGAAGGTCTCAGAACTGCATACTCTTGAGCATAGGTTGCTTAGTTTCCATGGTGCCTCTTGTTAATTAATCTTAAAGCTGACTTCTATGCTGGCTGCTTTTGTTCAAATTTCATTCAGAGAAATTTGTATTAAAATATTGTTTAAGTATGATACAGGAATCATTTCAATTCACTCATTTTGCCACAGTTTCATTCTCAATCATCACAGATCAGGAAATCAGAAAATTCAGCTTCAATTGCTCATGAAGTAAGCACACTTTAACATGTTTCATTTAAGAAAAGACCTCAGAGCCAAAAGAACAATAGTTAAAGACTTCTAACGCTTTTTTGAAATTGATGCAATAGAGCCTGCGTGGACTTTAGCACAGTTCAGAGCTGAAAAGGACAATGGTCATAAGAAACGTTTCATTCTTAAAAGCAGTAAATCAAAAATATGAAAGTCAGGCAACTCTGTTAGCTATGCAAATCAATTCATTTGTCTCGTTCTTTCATGTACTTATTCCCCAAGGTAACCATATGCAGTTTTGATACAAAATAGCTCAGTTCAAATACTTCTTTAGAAAAAAAGATCAGTTTAACCACTTGCTCACCATATTCCTCAATCTTATTCATAATCCAGAATAGATCTATTTGCATTTGTCAGTGATTTATACTGCCTGGAATGGGCAGATTGCCTCACAAGGAATGGTTCAACAGGCCAGGCCTGTATTCTCTGGAGTTTAGAAGAGTCCAAGGTGACTTGATTGAAGGGGTCTTGACCAGGTGGATACAGAAAGGATGTTTCCTCTTGTGGGAGAATCTAGAACTAGGGTTTACAGTTTAAAAATAAGGGGCTCTTATTTAAGACAGAGATAAGGAAAATATTTTTCTCTCAGAGCATTAGAGTTTTTGGAATTCCCTTCCTCAAAAGGCTGTGGAGGCAGAATCCTTAAATATTTTTAAGGTAGATGTAGATAGAGGCATGTAGGGTTGAGGTTAAAATCAAGTCAGCCCTGACCTTACTGAATGGCAGAGCAGGCTTGAAGAGCCGAGGGACTGACTCTTGTTCTTTGTTCATATGTCTGATTAAATGATATTCTTAGAAAAAAAACTTATTCCATTACTATTATCCTTTCAGTAAGTAAATAACATATTTCTTAATTTTTGTTTTAGCAAGGCAACAGTTAATTATACATTTAAAAAAAAAACTGACATCAGATTTGGATTTTAGTTGTGATGGAGCCGACGACGATGATGCTGATGTTGCTTTGAGTTCATCACGCAACTGAGATATTCTTTCCGTCAAGTCTTTAATGGTTTTCATTATTTTAGCTCTTTCATCCGCTTTCATACTTTTGTTTTTTTCCAGTTTGCAAATTAATACCTGAATTGATTAAGAAGAAAGAAAAATAGTTTAATATTAAAAGTACTGATCTAAATCAGATACCATCAACAGATCAATGCTGTGCCAAATGAGCACCATTTTACATTAGCCAGGTAAAAAGGGCAACACTTTAGTTGTTTGAATATCTTTGATTGGAGTTTGAACCCTCCTATGAATCAAAGTCATGTTTCACTTCCTTTGTGACCGTGATCTTGTATTATCCAGCCCCATCTTTCCTCACCACTCTGCAGGCTTTGGTCTGGCAGACTTCACCATTCTATTCCAAACTACCTCCTCACTACTTCTGTCGTTTCCTTCAAACTTTACTCAAACTTAGGGTCAAACCACCACCTGTCGTCGCTGTAATGAGAGAGCACACCTATGGTCTGGTATAACTATGGCATCTTTACCGTTATGAGTTCATCTCTTGCTGAAATCCTCATACGTCTACAAATAATTATTTTAAAGCACTGCTGATTAATCTCTCATTTTCCACATGCTAAATTTGAGATCATCATAGGCTGTGCTGCCCATATCCTAACTTGCATCTTGTCCAATTTACTAACTCCCACTGAGATCAATGACCTACACTGCCTCAACTTCAAAATTCTCATCCAGATGTTTCAGCCCTTATTTGGCCTCACCCTTCCCTAATTTTGCAATCACACCAGCCCCCACAACTTTCCAAAATATCAAGACTCCTCCAATTTTGACTTCTTCATTCCCAATTTTAACTGCCCTATCATTGATGAATATGCCTTCAGCTATCAAGGTCCTAAGCTCTGAAATTCCTTCTCTGAACCTCTATTTCTTTCCTTTCAGAAACTTCTTAAAAGATGTTTTCGGTCATCTACCAAATGCCTTTCAATTTATTACATTGCAGTATTCCTTTAAGTAACTATTCCCCCAATGAATAGTTAGAAAGCCATTTAATATCAAGGCAATTGCCAGGTAAATCTGGCAAGCAAACATTCTTGAATGTACAGCAAAAGTGAGGATTGAACGAAACTACATCAAAATCAGAACAGACGTTCTTACCTTCTGGCACTCAATTTGTTTTTCTAACATCTCTTGTTTCTTTTTCCTCATATCTTGCTGTAACTTTAAAGCTTCCTAAATTCACATAAAACAAAATCAGATAAAAATTGATCATTTTAATTCAAACAAGATTTGCCTTGTGCACAGTGATAAATTTTAATTTTGCTTGTGAAAAATAGCACTCAAATTCAAATTTTCAATTTATTTTCTGAAGAAGGTAGTTAAGCTCAAAGTTATGACATATTCTCAATGAAATCATTCAAAACCCCCCAAACAAAATTCATATGTATCACATCTGTGAAAGGAAGAAATAATTTCTTCTTTAATAAGGAAAGAAAGGCAGAAACTAATTGCGCAGTTCCAGTATCTCTCAATTAAACTACTAACACAATGTTTTATCATTTTGACTGAATAATTAATTTTAATATTATTATCTCCATTTCCCACTTGATGCCCGCCCTCAGTCAAATGAGACTTTGATGTCAAGGGCAGTTACTCTCACCTCATCTCTAGAATTCACCTCTTTGGTCCATTTTGAACCAAGGCAGTATTGAGGTCAGCAGCTGTGTGTCCTGGCGGAAGCCAAACTGGCCATCAGTAAGCAGGTGCTGCTTAACAGCACAGTTGAAGACACCTTCCATTACTTTATTCATGATTCAAGAGTAGACAGATGGGGCAGGTTGGATTTGTTCTGCTTTTTATCTACAGGAGAAACCTGGGCAATTTTCCAAATTGTTGGGTAGATGCCAGTGTTGTAACCACACATCCTGTATGCCTGCTTAACCACCCTCTCTACCCGTGCTGACACCTTCAGGGATCTATGGACTTCTACACCAAGGTCCCTTTGTTCCTCAGTATTGCCTAGGGACCTACCATTCATTATGTATCTCCTCCCTTCACTGGCCTCCAAAAATGCATCATCTCACACATATCAGGATTAAATTTCACCTGAAATTTCACTGGACAATTTAGCAGGTATGAATATTTGACTGCAGCTAAGACGATCCGCCTCACTATCAACAACATCATCAATTTTTGTGGCATCCACAAAATTTCTAATTATACCTTCTAAACTCACATCCAAGTCATCAACATACATAACAAACAACAAGACTTTGTACTTAGCCCTGTAGTCACAGGCTTCCAATCACAAAAACATCCCTCCACCATCACCCTTCGCCTCCTGTTTGCAAGCCAATTTTGGACTCAGTTTGCCAACTTGCCTTGTCCCATGGGCTCTTACCGTTTGGATCAGCCTTCCATGTGAGACCTTGTCAAAGGCCTTACTAAAGTCCATTTAAACCATATCAATAGCACCACCTTCATAAATATATCTAGTCCCACTTTCAAAAAAAATCTCAATTAAATTAGTCAGACAGGATCTCTCTTTAACAAATCTGTGTTGACCAGCCCTGATCAATCCCTGCTTTTTCAAGCATAGATTAATCTGATCCTTCAGAACTTTTTGCAATAATTTCCCTACCACTGACATCAAATGAACTGGCCTGTAATTACATGCCCTAACCCTGCTGCGCTTCTTGAACAAAAGGAACCACATTTGCTATCTTGCAGTCATCTGGCATTTCACCAGATTTCATCAGTAGCCAACAAAGTATCAAATATCTCCACCAGGGCCCCAGCATCTCCCCGCTTAACTCCCAAGGCATCCCGGGATATATTTCATCAGGCCCTGGGGATTGTCCCACCACTATTAAACCAGTGGCAGGGGTGGTCTTAAAAGCTAGTGAAGCAACTGATGCCCTTATGTTGGCAATTAAGGACCTCATTCACTGCTGCCAGGATTTAACCAAAGGCAGGAGAGGCCCAGCAAGTGTTGAGCCTGGCAAGTTTCATTTATGGGCTGATTGTAAGTGGGGGAAGGCCTCTCCTTAGGAGACTTCATAGGCTGATCGGAAGACTCCCCTCAAGGTTTAGCCCCCTCTCCACCCACCCAACCATCCAATGTTGATCTCCTCCCAATAGCCTCTCTAATCCTAGTACCACCAGAAATGCTACCTCAACGCACCCAATGGTCAAGTGGGAAGGTAAGAGATCAAATCGCTCAAATAATTTGGCCCTATACCACAGTGCCATTGGCTGGAGAGACAGTGGTAATCGATGACTCTTGGCCAGGTGATGATTGAAAGGCAGGAGTCACTGATTATGCCAGGTTGTTGTTTGACTTGTTGACTTTCCCAATTTTGGCACAAGTTCCAGGATTTACTGAGTAAATCCTTGCAGTGTTGACTTAATGCATGTTTGTTGTGTCTGGTGCCTTGGTCAATGCTGGGTGGTTAATCAGATTTTATTCTCCCTGTAGATTGGAGAAGGTCTGCAGTTTTTCTTCCCTCAGTACAAGTAAAGGAGATGCCATTTTCTGTATATTTCTATCAAATGATGTGATGAAATGATACTGTTATTCTGGGTATATTCAATTAACTGAAATCAAAACGTGTTACAATAGTGAACAAGTTTAGAAATTACAGAAATTCACATTTTATTGCAATATCTACACATGTCCAGGCCTCTGGACTGCTAATGCAGCACAGATGGATCAATGTGTTCTTCTGCCTGATACACAATGTTAGCATAACGTGGCAAATGGAATTTTGGCCCTTATTGCTAGGGATTGAGTTATAAAATAGGGAAGTCTTGTTGCAACTGGTTGCACGTTAGTGAGGCTGTACCTGGAATATTACGTACAGTTCTGACTCCAATATTTAAGAGGGGTTTATTGGCATTTGAAGCCGTTCAAAAGAGATTCAATAGGCTGATTTCTGGGACAAAGGGATTGATTTATCAAGAATTTCTGAACAGATTAGGTCTTTATTCATTACTGTTTAGAAAAATAAGAGATGATCTTATTGAAACATACAAGATTCAAAGGGGACCTGACAGAGTACATATTGAGAAAACATTTCCCACTAGGAAGAAAATCTCAAACTAGGAGTATAGTTACACAATAACAGAGACCCATTTAAAACTGAGATGAAAATAAATTTCTTCTCCCAGAGTGCAGTAAATGTCTGGAGTTCTCTATCCCTGAGTAATGTGCCCTACCCTAGCATGTTGTGATCACTGAAGTTGTACAAAGAGGAAGTAGACAGGTTTTTGAAATAATTAGGGAGCTGATGGCTATGATGAGCTATCACAAGGAGTTGAGACTTGGGGTATATCAGCTATAATCTTGTTGAATGGCAGGGCAGGCTTGCTAGGCTAAATGGCCCACTCCTGATCCTAGTTCTCATGTTCTTAAGTTGGTCCAGGAGCATATCACTCTCCTGCTGTTTCAGAAATTTTCAACAGATCTGCTAAAAACTATAATTTAAATTTAGCAGTCAAAAACGCACTTGAAAGTGCAGAAAATTTAGTTCAAAAATGAAATCTGAAAGATCATGAAGAAAACTGGTCATAACATTGAGAGTACCTGTTTTTTCTTGAGAGCTTCTTTTGCTTCAAGTGCCTTACTGGATGTAACAGAAGATTTATGATTTGTCTTTGTGACTGCAGAACCATACCCTGGCTTTACCAGGCTTGTGGAGGTAGGAGGTCCCTAGGGGATACAAAGGCAGCATGTTAACTTCATTGCATCATGATCACAGACAAGCATTATAGAATGTTAAATACTCTGTGTGATTTTGCTGTATAACCAATAGCTAGAAATACACTAAAATCAGGTAATCCCGGAAAACCTGCTGTGTTATCATTGCCAGCTGTTAAAATTTGTTTCAGACAGGGAACAACCAGCTCATCTAGTCTGTTCTTTAAATAACGTAATCGATAAACCTCAATGAGTTATCATTTTATCACCATTATTTGTAGCAGATTTCAGAAACTTCGCATTTGCTTCCCATTCCTAATTCAATCATGTACATGAGATAATAGTTTTTTCCTGAACTATATATTTAATTTTGTTTCTCTTACCTTGAATCTATGTCACTGATCTGAAATCCTGTTAGTCAAAACTATTTTCTCCAACTGATCAGTAAAAGAAGCAAAGTGATAGGAGGGAAAGCCTCTCAGGCAGCAAGTGGTTAGTGTATGGAATGCACTGTCTGAGAGTGTGGTGGTGGCAGGCTAAAGTGAGGCATATAAAAGGGAATTAGACGGTTACTTGGAAGGAAACAATGTATAGGATTACAGAGAGAAAGCAGGAAAATGGCAGTAGGTGAACTGTTCATTTGGATATATTTGCTCATATCCTGGTGGTTCTGAGGTGCTGCTTTACCCCTCTGTGCCCTCTTTGACTGACCTTCATCTTTCTTCAGTTTAGTGAAATCACTTTTACTGGCTTCCATTCCAAGTGCAGCCAAAATAGCTCCAACCAACATCTTCTCTTCCAGCCAATGCACCATACCTGTCACCATCATCATCAAGGATCTCTCCTTGGCTCCCTCCCCTTCTTCATCCATGTGCTGCACATCAGCAACAGTACTTAGACAATAGATCCATTTTCATATGGATACTTAGGGGGCCAAGCTCTACTAGTCCACTACCACTGAGCGCACTTTGTATTGCTCCTCATTCATCAGAGTGCCTGTCCACTATCCAGTCTTAGTTCAACTAGAATTAACAGTAAAACATCAGGAACAATCAAACTGTTGTTGCTGGCTAGTGTCAAAAATTCCATATCTCAGCTCTGATTCAAGCTTCTAGCCACAATCAGCCTGAACTAATTTGAAACTTCAGCAATATATTCAATCTTCAGCTGAGTTTCCAACTACATCTGGCCTGCTGCGAAATCCCACTGCCTGCGTTCTTCCCAGTACCATCCCCTTGCCTATGAACTCTGCTGCCTGACTTACATTAGCTTCCAGTTCAAAGCTGCAAGTGTAAACGTTTTTGTCCTTTTAATTAAAATTCTTACGTGACCCAGCTGCTCTCTACCTTTTCTGCTTTGAAGATGTTAAATAAAAGCTGGAAAGAGGAGCATAAACATGAAAAATTCATTACCTGTGAAGCTTCTCCGCCAGCTCCAAACTGGCTTGAACTGGTTTGCATTCCATCAGGCGGATTTCCAACCAGGGACCCAAGTCGTTGCTTTACTGTTGCATTTGTTAGTACAAAAGATCCTGGGCTTTGGTTTCGGTTTAATATCTGGAACACAAATTTGCGATAATCCGTGTTAAAATTCAACACATGGCTTCTTTGCTCACAATCCATTTAAAAAATTTTATAATCACACGTTTGTACATTTGGAACATGACTGAAGGGTTTAGAAAACAGTTTGGATTAGATAAAATGACATGAAAACCGACTCTCATGTTCGAGTCATTATTGTACAGAAAAAGCCCATTAAGGCCCATCAAGTCTATACTGGCTGTCAAGTTTAAAATATAATTTTATCCTAAGAAGTATTGAAACTTAAAAGGAATTACTAAGAAACAATGTATTTTTTTGCAATGTCATAAGCACAAGCTGTAACAAACATGCACAAAGTAAACCAAAATTAGACTGATTACAGAAGGTAAGTAAAACTTACTAAACAAGAATTCCTGTAACACATGACCACAGAAGACCAGAAGAAGACACAGAAGCAGAAATTAGGCCACTCGGCCCATCGAGTCTGCTCCACCATTCATTTGTGGCTGATAAGTTTCTCAACTCCATTCTCCTGCTTTCTCCCTGTAACCTTTGATTCCCTTGACAATCAAGAACATATCTATCTACATCTGTCTTAAATATACTCAACAACCTGGCCTCCACAGCCCTGTGGCAATGAATTCCCCAGATTCACCACTCTCTGGCTGAAGAGGTTTCTCCTTATCTCCACTCTGAAGAGTCTGTCCTTTACTCTTAAGGCTGTGCCCTCGGGTCCTAGTCCCTCCTGCCAGTGGAAACATCTTCCCAACGTCCAATCTGTCTCGACCGTTCAGTATTCTGTAAATTTTAATTAGATCTCCCTTCATCCTCCTAAACTCCTTCGAGTATAGAGCCAGAGTCCTCAAACGTTCCTCATATGTTAAGCCTTTCATTCCTGAGATAATGCTCGTGAACCTCCTCTGGACCTGCTCCACGGCCAGAACATCTTTCCCGAGGTATGGGGCCCAAAATTGCTCACAATACTCCAAATGTGGTCTGATCAGAGGTTTATAAAGCCTCAGAAGTACATCCAAGTTTTTATATTCTAGTCCCCTCGAGATAAATGGCAACACTATACTTGCCTCCCTAACTAGCGACTCAACGTGCAAGTTTACCTCAACAGAAACCTGGACTAGAACTCACAAATACCTTTGTATTTCAGATTTCTGAATTTTCTCCTCATTCAGAAAATAGACCATGCCTCTATTCTTCCTATGCAAGTGCGTGACCTCACACATTCCCACACTGTATTCCATCTGCCACTTTCTTTGCCCATTTTCGTAACCTGTCCAAATCCTTCTGCAGCCTCCCTGTCTCCTCAATACTAGCTGTCCCTCTACCTATCTTTGTATCATCTGCAAACGTAGCCACAATGCCCTCAGTTCCTTGATTGAGATCATTAAAGTGAAAAGTTGTGATCCTAACACTGACCTTTGTGGAACACCACTAGTCACGGCTTCTATCCTGAGAAGGACCCTTTTATCCCCACTCTTTGGCTGTCTGGCAGAAAGCAATCTTCTATCCATGCTAATACCTTGCCTCTAACACCATAGGCCCTTATCTTACTCAGCAGCCTCCTGTGTAGTACCTTATCAAAGGCCTTCTGGAAGTTCAGATAAATAACATCCATTGGCTCTTCTTGGTCTAACCTGCTTGTTATCTCCTCAAAGAATTCTAACAGATTTATCAGGCATCCCGCCTTAATGAAGCCATGCTGTCTTTGTCCTACGTTACTATGCACTTTCAAGTATTCAGAAATCTCTTCCTTCACAATGGGCTCCAAAATCTTACTAACGACCTAGGTCAGGCTAATTAGCCTATAATTTCCTGTCTTTTGCCTTACTTCCTTCTTAAATGGGGGGGTTCCACATTAGTGATTTTCCAGTCCTCTGGGACCCTTCCTGACTCCAGTAATTACTGAAAGATCATCATTAACATGTCCACTATCTCTTTAGCTATCTCCTTCAGAACTCTGGTGTGTAGCCCATCTGGCCCAGGTAAATTATCCACCTTCAGACTTTCAGTTTTTCTAATACCTTCTATTTGGTGATGGCCATCATATTCACCTTTGCCCCGTGACTCTCTTGAATTTTTCGGATATTCCTCATGTCTTCCACTGTGAAGCCCAACGCAAAGTACTTATTGAGTTCCTCATTATTACTTCTCCAGCATCATTTTCAGTGGCCCAATGTCCACTTTTGCTTCTCTTTTGCCCTTTACATATTTAAAGAAATTCTTGCAATTTTTTTTATATTACTGACTAGCTTACCCTCATATTTAATCATCTCCCTCCTTATTTCTTTTCTCATTGCCCTCTGTTTGTCTTTCTTCCCAATCTTCTGGCTTCCTACTGCCCTTCGTCACATTATATGCTTTCTCTTCTTCTTTTGTGCTGTCCCTGACTTCCCTTGTCAGCCACGGTTGCCTCATCCTCCCTCTAGTATGTTTCTTTTTCCTAGAGATGAATTTTTGCTGCGTCTCCCGAATTACTCCCATAAACTCCAGCCATCAATGTTCCACCGTCTTTCCGGCTAGGCTCCTCTCCCAGTCAATTCTGCCCAGTTCCTCCCTTGTGCCTCTGTAGTTGCCTTTATTCAACTGTAATACCGTTACATCTGATTCTACCTTCTCCCTCTCAAATTGCAGAGTAAATTCAATCATATTATGGTTATTGCCTCCTAAGGGTTCCTTCGCCTTAAGCTCCCTTATCAAGTCTGCCTCATTGCACAACACTAAATCCAAAATTGCCTGTTCCCTAGTGGGCTCCATCACAAGCTGCTCCAAAAAGCCATCTCAGACATTCAACATGCAACACGGGTGAAATCACCAGCTTCCAACTTTTAGCAGAAATCAGACTTTCATGTTCCCACTTTTTAAAACATTTCCAGTCCTTTTGGAATCAAACAAAATTCAGCTCTGCAGATTTGTTCAAAAGAAGCAAACACCTGAAAGAAGTGAGAAAGTTAAAGCAGAAGTGGAGAATAAAGAAAAAAGCAAAAACGTAGGACAGGAAATGGAAGCATATGGTCACAGATGGCAAAAATGGTGAAAAAGTAATACAGGAGACAGAAATACTGTCAATATCCTATTAAAGATGATGATGTTGAGAGGGTTTTTGTGAGGAGTGGCTTTAAGAGGCAGACAGCCTTTGGTTGCAACATCCTCAAAACAACACAGAATGAGATGTGCTCTTTAAATCCACTACCAAACATGATGACTGCTTTGATTAACTCTTGATCATAGGCTGGTGAGCATGGCACTGTGCAACGGACTGTAGGGGAAGGCCCTTTTTGACAGTGATTGTACCTGAACAGTGGAACTCTGCACTGTGCTAATGTCCCATTTAGGTGTAACTGGTTAATTTAATTAGATGAAAGAATAGTTTAGAACTTAATAATACTTTAGTTCCTATCACATAATATATATGAATTCCCACTGCTTGTTTTAAAGTGAGTCAACATATCCTTCACCCACAACTGGTTAGAAGAAAAGCACTCACCTTTTGCCAACTACATTAAAATAGCACACCATTTTTGAAAACAGTTCATTCAAAGCTTAAGTTCATTATGGGATAATTGTGGGTGTGAAGCTGCATCTTGCTACTTTACACTGCAGTAGGCAGAACAAACCGGGTCTGCAATAACTGTCCATCAATACAATGAAAAGTATAAAATCCGTTACAAACACAGTTACTGGAAAATGAGTAGCTTCAGGATTGGTTTTGAACTTTCGATAGGAGATCCAAGTAACAAAATAATGAAATATCTATTTCAACAGGTTCACATTTAACTGCATTCGTATTTAGTATAAAGTAATTTGGTGAAATTTGAGTTTTCAAAACATATTAGTGCACGTGCATAATTGATTTTTCCAAATTTGATGCATACTCATTTGAACTCCTTAAAAAGCCTTAGCTCCCAGATATGAAATCAAAAAGATCTCTATGCCAAGTACAAAACATGTGCCAGTTTGATTAATAAAGATTTAGAATTTCAGCAAATAGTTAAACAGTACCTTATGAACAGTGCTATGTTGTGACACTGCTAACTGCTGTGCCTGTACTTGCTGATGTTGTGGTTGCTGCTGAACTCCATTGTTCTCTCTGTGCCAGTAAACTCTAATAAATCTGTTATTCAATACTGCTGCAGTACTGGAAATAGCCCGTTTTGCTTCCTCGTTCTGAGAGTACTGAATAAGAGCTGCTTCAGGATCACCACTAAACGCAACCTGGGAGGGTGTTATTGGCAGAAAATTGTATGTTAAAATATAATGCTTGTACATTCATCTGACAAAAATAAGACCTTTATCTTCTACTTTTGCTTGGGAACAAACTTTAGCTGATCCAAGTAGGATTTCTTGCGTCATTAAAATTTATAACTAAGGATCTCGTAGCAGTGATAGCATCCCTGCTTCTGGGCCAGGAAGTCCACACTCAAGTCCCACCTGTCCCCAAGGTATATTATAACATATTCAAACAGGGTGATTGAAAGCATATTTTCCTTAAAAATACCAAAATCTGGTAAGTAAAGTTAGCTGAAATGTTTTAAAAGAATTTGTGCATGAGCAATTGAGCTATAGTCGTTCATCTCATTAAAAGAAATCTTGGCCTGGTAAATTATTAAACTTGTCTACTCCATTGCAGTGCAACAGCGATTGATTCAAATGTTAAGACAACAAAACTGCATGTTGAATAAGAAAATATATGGCTGCAACATTAATATTTCAACAAGCATATTTATGGCCCTGACTTTGTCTTTCAAATTTGAAGGCATTATTCTTGAACAGATTTTTAAAGATACGAGTCATGAACTACGACTTTCTGACAACATATGGTATGGGTGCATCTTGAATTTTTTTATGAAAGCCAACTGTAACATGATTGCAAGTTGTTACTGAGCTTTAGTTTTAACATTAAACAGAAATAAATTTCTCCAGTTTGCAACCTAGCCTGCACTGGGTCCTGCTTACTCATCACCTGTGTTCTTCATGATTAACAACTGTCATCAGGAACATCGTTCCTACATTGACCCTAATAGTCCTATTAGAACTTTAGAGGTTTCTATGAGACGGCCAACATGTCCACCCATTCTTCTGAAGTCTAGTGAACAGACCTAACTGATCCAGTCTCTCTTCAGATGTGACATCTAGTTGTCTCATCAAGTCTATGCCAGCTCTTTGTGGGGCAATTTAGTCAGTGCCCTTCATCCTGAAAGCACCGAAGATTTATTTCTTTGAAGTGCGCATACAACTGCCTTTAAATACATATGTCATTTCTGCTCCCGCAATTCTCTTAAGCAGAGTTCCAGCTCATTTGCACTTTTCGCATAAAAAAAGGTCTCCTTTGCATCACCCTTGGATCTCTTGCTAAAAGTCTAAATGCCCTATTCTTAAGCAGTGCCTCAGAACTGGGAATGTTTCGTTTCCACATCAGTTGTTTACATTTTCTGAAACAGGCAATAAATTTATTGGCCACATGCAGAGCTTCAAGGGTTGGGCAGATAATAATGTTCCTGATGACTGGGGAGTCCAGAAGCAGTGGTCGCAAATTAAGGATACTTAGATTAGCCAGTTAGGACTGAGATGAAGGGAAATTTCTTCACCCAGAGAGAGTGGTGAGTTTCTGGCATTCTTGCCAGAGAAAGCAGTTGAAGCCATAACAATGAATGTTTTCAAGAATGAGATATATATATAGTTCTTGCAGTTAAAGGGATTAAAGTGCATGATGAGAAAACTGGAACAGGACAGTGAGTTGGATCATCAGCTGTGTTCACATTGAATGACGGGGCCGACTTGAATAGCTGGTAGAGCTTCTGGGGTTTACATGCTCTCCAACACCTCAACTTCATCTCTGCATGCTCCTGACAAAGTCTCTCAATATGTCTGCTGCCTTTCAAATGAACCTTCTTCACTTTGGCTGGTCACAAGGCCGGAGTTGGCAGAAATGCCTGGCCTCCTGAGGGATATCCTCAAAGCATCTCTGAAGTAAACCTGCTGACCCCTGGAAACCTCCAGCTACAGAGTTCAAAGAGTAGAACAGCTGTTTCAGGAGTTTAGTGCAAGGAATGTGAATGACACATCTCTCCCCCCAGTGATTGGGAGCAATAAAAGATTTTGGGAAATATCCTCTGGTCCAATTTACAGGAAGAGTTTCTTTGCAAACGTTCTCCAAACTGGTCTTAATCTTGTACAGCTCTACCTGTATCTCCCCTCAATCTCCTTTGCTGCAAGAAAACAATCCAAGCTTCTCTAACCTAACCTTGTAGCTAAAACCCACATTTTTGAAAGCATTCTAGTTAATCAGATGGATCATTTTCTTTTGCAAAGATGAACTTTAAACTTAATGGCAATATTTTTAATCTTTATTATCCTTCCCTGTTCTTGCAGTTATTTTGTAAGAAAGTAAGTGTTTAAATACTAAACACACACTCGGAAGATTAACAAGTATGTTTTATTTTCACTATACTGGATGCAGTGCAGCAAACATTTTATTAACAGCTATCTATGGGGCTAGGAGTTGGTTGATTGATCAAATATTCCGGATAATCAAGGAGGTACGCACAACCGTAGAAAACCCTGACTAACCAAAGCTTCAAGGCATGAACATTCCTCAAAAAATATATGTAAAAACATCAACACACCTCCTAAAATCAATGTAAAGACCCAGTAAGTAATGGAAATTTAATGAAGGGGATATACACATCACTGCTGTACTTTATTTACATCACAATTCTTGTCGGTTGATGAGGTGCCAGTTAAAACAAAATTTGCTGTATTTGAATTCAGCCTGATGATACAAGTCCTGATACAAGTCAAATTGATTTGGATTAGATAATCACTAATTTTCCGCTAATATTCAGGGTCCAATGCTGGCTTTCATCAAAATTAACTTTCACGCTTACTTTGAAAGTAACGAGTTAAAGCACATTGATGGCGAGAGTAATACATGCTTTTATCTTGCGTATGGAATAGGCTTTTGCCTAAACTGTGTAGCTGGAGGTCAAAAATAAACTAACATTTCAATCATTAGCACTGAAACCTATTTCTGTGATGTATAGATTTTCATCTGAAAGCAGCTAACTGTTGAACAGAGGAAATATCTAATATCAATGCTCCTTTACAAACTTGAGGGGAAAAAAAAAAAGAGTTTTAAATAAAGGAATTAAAATTCTTCTGGCTCAGTCTCCTCACCTGAATGTTGACAATAGTACCAAATTTACTGAAATGTTCATTGAGCTGGGTAATGGTGTTCATTTCCCTTGGGATTTTGCGGACCTCTAGCTTGGTGTTATCATAGGTGTGTGGAGTCTTCTTCTGAAATCCTTGTTTGCTTTGATGATTGAAGTTTTGCCTGAATTTTGAAAAAGTGTAATATTTACATAATGGCAAAGACACAAGCATTTCATAGTTAGGCTAAAGATTTGCCTTCAACAAAGATTCACGAAATTTACTTGTGTCAAAGTTAAATTCTACTACAGATTTCAGTTTTGAAGAAAATTGAAATCTTTATATTCATTAAACTGCTACTAGAATATCCAACTTCTAATCGGCCTGATGCTGCAAAATATTCATCCCAATTTAGTGATTTGGAAATAGCTAGAACAGCAAATGTGCACATATATAATTACCCACCCCCACCTTTCCCCAAAATTCTAAGTTCTACAGCAGCACAACAATATTATGCATCAAAGATGATAGATTTCAACCAAAACAAAAACACACAACATAACAAACTTCCAATTTCAACATAATCAAGGAACGTGCAAACAAAGACTAGATTTGAATTTAAAATTCAAACCAAATTCATGTCTTGTTCTATAAATTGCCCTTTGACTTGGGATTAGACCACAGATTGATGTAATATGTCAGGAATTGTTTACATTAAGAGCAACAGAAACATCTTATTAATAAATTAATCTATAGGATGAGTGAGTATAAATCTACACCAGACTAGTGGAACACAATCCTTCTCACTGCTGATCGCAAGGCCCAGGTGAAAAATCTGGCCTCCATAATCAGCACGCAGCACATTTGTCCATGCAGAACCTACATTAGGAGTATTTGTTCTTCAAAATATATGTATCACCCATTCCTCACAGTGGTAGCTCTTGCCCCCAAAAAACACAAATGTTCACAAAAACATCTTTGGATATCAGGGTCCAACATTACTTTTCTATCCACGGTTTTTTTGTAGGTGGTCCATCCACAGTTACAACAGTTCTTTTCCTAGATTCTGGTTCAATAACTTCACGTGAAACATTGTTGCTTGTTGTTGTAGCTGCACAGATCTCCGCTTGGTTTACCTTCACAGGCACTGCAAGTGTTAATAAGAAGATTAACAACATCTGTTAGTCACCTAAATACACAAACAGCATAACCAAAATTGCACACAGCATACCAAATACCTTCTGAAATGTTATTTGGTTTCAACTTGGTTACATTTTAAAGTCAAAGCTACCCATCAGATCAAAACCATTAAGTTACAAATTCTCATTTGATATCTTTGGCATGCAGCTCCACAGAGAGGTAAAAATAGAAAATTATGTCATGTTAGCACCTCAGTACAAAGATATTGTGCTGTGCAGATTCAAAAACACTTCAGATGCACTTGGTGACATATTATCTGCCTCCATCATGTGGGGTTCTGCTGCATCTGACTTCAGGCTAATTGGCATTCAAGGGCAACAACATCTCTAAAAACCAATCCAAAACGCAATGACCTGCAATTAACCCCACCAACAGATGATAAAGATTAAAACGTATTGGAAAATAGCTTGACAGTAAAAACAAAAATGTAATCCATTTCACCTTGTTCAAGTCTATTAAAATTCTCCCAGATTAGACAGAAGTCTTGTCTCTCACTAAAACGAAAAACTAAAAAGCTCAAAACTACAATTACTGAGCCAAGTTGAAACAGGAAACAGCATTCATACCTCAATTTAAAATAATCAAATTGAGACTATACCACTATTTTGAGCTCCAAGCCAACTTAACTGTAACAAAATTTCAAAGAGTAGCTCTTAGCCTCATGTTTTGCTTTTGTGTATTGTACAATACAGGACAAACTGTTTACTCATCTATAAATTAAACTTTTTGAATTAAGAAACAATAATTAAGTATAGCTCAAGTTTTAATGTCATTAATTGGTAGGGACAAAGGGACCAGATACAATGTGCCACTACAATTTGGGATTCTAAGTGAGTTGGCTAATTCAGCAACTCAATCTATATTTTTGCTATTTAATAGGTTTCGTGGATCGTTGTATCTTGGTGCTTAATGACTCTACGGATTCAGCCTACAAATCGTTGTTTCCTCATCATAAATTCAAGTTAGTCAGTGTTTCAATATGTTTTTTCTACTATTCAAATGATTGAGATTAACATCACAGTTCAACTCACACGGAGTAGAAACTGCTCGGTTTCTACATAACCGATTAAGCACTTGAATTAAAAATATTTGGAAAAACTTCTTCTGAAAAGGTTATGCTCAAGAACTATTTTTGCAAGAAAGTAGTTTAGATATCTTAGCCTCGCCACCATTATCAGATCTGAAAGTTTTAAATAGTATTTCTACTAACGAATTTTCAATGTAAGCACTGTACAAAATCAAGGCTTATGCTAAATAAGTCTTCAAAACTGTCAGAACATACAGCAGAGTCAAAATTTCAGTGTTCTGATAACTCCTATATTGTGACATAAATTCTGAAACATGTTATTTGTAAGAAATTCTAAAACTAACTGAGGACTACCTGATAATTGCCTGTCACAGACAAATGCAGCATATTTTACCTCGTGATGGGCCATCCATGGTGCTGGAAGTTAAGCCAATCAGATTTGGGCGCTCAGTCTGAATTCGTGGGATGTAGTGTCGATATGGAGGCCTGGCACCACCAGTAATACTGGGAGCTTCAGGATTATAGCCATCAGGCTCATAGTTATCTGAAACAGAGAAGCCGTATAATAATCTTTTATTGAACCTAAGTGGAACAGCAAGGCAGTGTGGAATCTGGTCATCATGGGTTCTCAGAAACGTACTTTTAGAAGCCAAGCTTAAATGAACTGGAATCCAACCATATACTATTCCATAACTGGTGGCAAGATTTTTTTTAAATTCATCCACAGTTTATACATTGCCACGTACAGCACCGACTTAGGTACACAGTACCTAGGCACAGCTTCTTTAGCTACAAGATAGAACAGGGAACAGTACAGGCCCTTCGGCCCACTATGTTGTGCCAAACTATTATCCGACTAAGATCAAACTACCCTGCATAACTACTAGACAATAGAAAAATAAAAATGTCCAGCATTGCAGAAATAAAAGTTCAGAACATCCAGACAGATTTTTACAATTGGCAGTCGTTACATATCGCCATTAGGCCAGCTTTTTGTTCCAGGTTTTTACCAAATTCGAATTTCACCATCTGTCATGGTGCGATTTGAACCTATGACCCCTGAACATTTGAACAGACAGTCTGGATTACCAGTCCATTACCATGACACCACAGCCTACTTCTTATTCTAATGAAAAACTATAAATGATTCAGCGCAACAGGAAAATCATTCGCTCAAGAATTCCCGACTGAGGTTTGCCAACCCTAGTAGTGTTGCAAGCTCCAAACCAGCAATAGCCACGGTGAACCTCAAACTTATCCCCAACAGCTGTGTGCCCTTCAAAATGCATTTTGATTCAAATAGAGGGCATGGTCTAATATATTGTTTGGGACACAAAAGGGCTGTAGGTGGGATGCACTGTTTCAAAAATTATTAATTATCATTACACATATTGGACAAAAACAGGGTTTGTTTTTTATCATGATGGGGCCAGTATTTTTTGACAAAATGGTCGGTAGCATTTAAGATACAAAAGGTTGGGAACTGCTAGGATAACCAACTGCTCAGTTCCTGCTGTTTGAAAGTGCATGAGAAAAGGCAAGTATTGATTTTACCTCTTTTTCATCAAATCTCCCATGGTAGGTGAAATGATAGGAAATTCAAAGGAGAGATGTGGTGGTGGGGAAGGAAAGAAGATATTCCATCCCTTCAACAACTGTTATACACTGCTCCCCTCCAGGCTGACATTACACAAAGTCTGACATATGAAAATGGGTTCATAACAGAAAGAAGTTTGGGAAGCACTCATTTAGCTGCTGTCAAACAAGGATGAAAATTTACAACACAAACATCAGAAGTGCATATAAATCCAGCTACCTAAATTTTATATAAATGTGAAGCGAAATGTGAAATGCGTTCCGTAATTTATAAAATAGTTAACACAACTCCATCATAACAGCTCTGGTGGTAAAGCAGCGAGTACCTAAGCCATATTGACCAAGAAAGTCCCAAAATGCAACTACTCATCCATGCTTAAATAGATAATCCAACTGTGTTCATGCCATGGTTATCCCAATGGCCCTCAGTACTCAAGGCTCGAAAAAGAAAAAAAAACGATTCTGAAAGAGCTAAAACACTTAAACTGAAAGTTTTCCATCAATCCTTGCTGGTAAGTGCTCATTAGTTAAATTCGAACATGAGTAGGCCTTTCAGCTCATTGAATGGTGGAGCTGGCTCAATCAGATCATGAATAATTATCTAGCTCAATATCACTCCCCACTCCCTGCCATTTTAATCTCTTGATGCCACTAGTCTCCAGAAATCTATTTCTGTTTTGAACCTGCTCAAATGATTACCATAGTGGAATGTTGAGGCTCAGGTAATTCCAAAGACTCGCCACTCTCTGAAACGAGAAGGCCCTCCTCATATCTGTCTTAAATGGTTTATCCGAATCCTGAGATTATGTCCCCTTGTTTTAGACTAATTAGGGGAAACATCTTATCTAGATCCACTGTGTCATGCTCTGTGAGAATTTTCTAAGTTTCAAAGTCACCAATCATTCTTCAAAACTCGATGTAATACAGATTCAGTCTCATCAATCTCTGCTCAAAAAGACGCTCCTAACATTCCAGGGATTAATCTTGTGGATCGCTGCTGCACTCCCTCAATGGCAAGCTTATCCCCTCCTTACACCAGGAGTCAAAGCTGTACTCACTTTTCCAGGTGAGATACAACTACAGCAAGGCATCTTAACATCTGTACTCACAATCCCTTGTTATGAAGGCCAAAGTACTACACGCTATCCTAATTGCTTACTGCTCTAGTGTGCTAATTTTCAGCAACTCATTAACAAGTATAATTGCACTTCTCAACCTCTCATCATTTGAGAAATATTCTTCCTTTGTTTTTTTGTTTGTTTCCTTTGTTTCCACTCGAATGTTATTTGCTGACTTGTATGGAACCTCATCATTATCAAAACATATTCTGAAAATCTAAATCTTGTCTTTATCAATGCTAAAAATAACATCCTTAAAAAAACTTAAAATTCATTGTCCAAATTTGGTGTTCTTTTCTAGAGGTCCAGTTAGCACATCCTTTATAATATTTATAAATATTATTGCATTCTGATATTTTCACTACTACTGATAAAAAACTAATTGGTCTTAGTTCGCCATGCTCCTCCTTCCTTGCTGCTTAAATAGTAGGATTACATTTGCTACTTTCCAATCTACAAGAACCTTTCTTGAATCTACAGAATCTTAAAAGATAACTGAGGAAGCTCAACTGGTCCATGGGTTTTGATCTTAAATTAACTTTTCGAGAACTACCAATTTACTAATGCCATTTATTTTTACTTCATCATTTTCACAAGCCCCCGGTTGCTAGTATTTCTCGGAGATTTTCTGTGGTTTCTTCGGTGAAGAGACTTAAATAAACAGTTCAGTTTCTCCACTATAAATTCTACTGTCCCAACGTGCAATGGGCCACAATCTGTCTTTGTTTTCTCCTTTTCCTTTTCAAAATACCGAAAGTAGCTTTTACCATCTGCCTTTGTTTCTCATGAGTTTACACTCATTCTCTTTTCCCTTCCTTATCAGTTATTGTGTCATCTTTTCCAGGGTTCTTAATTGCTTACAATCCTCAAGCTTACCAATTTTTTCCAGCATCCTTATAAACCACTTCCTTTGATCTTCATGACCTTCTTTCGCTAATCATAGTTAAACTTACTTTTCCATTTGTAAGTTTGTACCTTAGAGAAACTTTCAACTGTTGCAGACAATGTAGCATTTCCTTAAACAGTAGCCATTGTTTTTGTAGCAAAATCTTTGTGTATTTTCCCAATTCACCACAGCCAATTTGCCCCTCATACTTTCAAAGCTTCTTTTCTTCAGATTTGAGACCCTAATTTCATAATGAACTGTATTGAAACAAATCTATTATATTATAGTCATGATTTTCCCAATGCTCATTCAATTCGATCACGGTTGATCTGTCTGCATTTTGAATTCCACATTCCCATTTAGCACCCCAGATAGCCTTTGATTCCTCTGCAAATAAGAATCTATTTATGATCTCTATTTCCATGATAATTTCGCTGATCTCTAAGGGCACCCATGTTTAAATTCACTAATCTCTACAATATGTTTACCTCTCAAAGGATTTACAATTTGTTTTTGTACATCACACTTAAGTTTACTTTCATTCTATTTTTTTCCTTCCAGCAAGCTTGGGTCATACTTTGCTGAATTCTAAAATCCTCTCAAACCTTAGGCTGACTCCCTTTTTTTTAAGGCAGCAATCCTTCAATCTAATCCTATTGTTAACTTCTTTCAATAGTCACAGTCACACCACTTTTCCCATAGGATTTTTATTCCTCTAAGATTCTGCTCTGGCTAAGAGAATCTGTCCATCCTCCATGACGATTCTACCAGTGCCAGCAAATTCAGACTGTTTCCTCCCATGTTGAGATGGCGCAGTCCAAGACTGGGAAAGAGGTACTCAACACAGTCCACAAAACTGTCAACAGTCTTTCCCATGACAAGTTTGTGACAGTTAATCAGCTATGCTACCACCAAATGTGCATGGGGGCACTAACATTATTCAGTTTCCTTTTAAATGTATTGATATTATTCATCTCTATGCTCCACATGATATAACTTCCAAATGCTCATCAGTCTAGGTGAAAAAGGTTTCTCTCAAATTCCTGACCAGTTTTATTCATTTTCAGTGTCTTCCATCCAATCTAAGGTTTTGTTTTTAAATTTGATTATTGAATTCAATTGATACATCCAGATTGTTAATTCACAGCTAAAAGTAAGAATATTTCAATTGAAGAATAGAACATTGATTTTTAAAGGTGTTTACAAATTATGATATTAGTCAATCAATCAGTTGCAAGCTATCTTCAATTCATTGACATTCTCTCAACAAGTAAGGCCATAGCTGAAATCTACAGAAAGCTAGGGAATATGCACATCTTACTGCACGTACAAAGAGGCAGGTATTTTGGGTCTCCTGATGGACGTAAGAAAGGATGCACCCAAATCAAGAAAGATTGCATGGTTCACTTATTGTAGTCCAGTCAGCCAGTCCTAATTTATCCCATCCAACTTGCTCTTAGATTGTTCTAAGGAAAAGGCAATTGACTGGGTCTAACTGGATTGCTCTCTGAAACACCTAGAATAGACCCGATAGATTAAACAGTCTCCTTCAATGCTGCAGGCAAAGACACATGGAAACAAGCACCAGGATATATACACAAAAGTAATTAGCTGCATTTGTATACTATATATGATTTGATTCATAAATATCATTTTGAATATTTATTTTGTAGTGAGTTTCACTTCTGTATTGTGACCAAGCAGACACTGCGATGGTCAACTACCAAAGGAAGATAAGATCGTAACTGGAAAATTGAGGTTACATTTACATGACACAGCCAGTGCAGACACTGAAGGAGATCAGGTCAGAGAAAAGCTGCTGTCCATCCTGCTCCTCAGTTGGTCACCATGCAGCTGATGGCATAGACTGTGTCTTCATGATGGCAAGGTTATGCAGTCTGACACCAACCCCAGCAAAGCTCAAGGGCAGCTCAGGCAGTGCAAGTATAGTTTCACAAGTCCAATGGTATACCCACATTTTGTGTAGCAGTACAGCTTATCCCTTAAGTTCAACATGTTCACGAGTTCTACAAATCATTTTTCAGTTTTTGACTTGGTGTTTTAGAGAGTTGATGAACATATTTTACACCAACTGTACACAGCTTTAAAATTAAGTACTATCATATTTAAGTAAAAACTACTAAGCTATTTCTAAGGTATCAATCACAATGGTGCAAAAGGAGGGGAGACAATAAATAAAACAACCAAATAAGTCAGAATAACTATCGTTAGAGAAAAAGTGCTAGTGAAACTAATGCATCTAAAGATTGATAAGTCCTCTCACCCTGATGGGATACATCCTAGGATAGTAAACTGAGTAGCTACAAGAAGTAATGGATGCACTGGTAGTAATCTCCCAGGAGTCCTTAGATTTTTGAAAAGTCTCAGAGATTTGGAAAAAATTTTAAAAGGGAAGGAAACAAAATAAAATTTAACTATAGACCAGTCAGCTTAACATCTGCTAATGGCAAAGCTGTAGAGTCTATTATAAAAGATGTAACAACAGAACATTTAGAAATACAGAATAAGATCAAACAAACTCAGGAAGGCTTCATGAAGGGAAAATCATGCCTGACAAATTTCCTAGAGTTCTTTGAGGTGGTAACAAGCAGGATAGATAAAGGGGAAGCAGTGTTGCAATATAGTTGGATTTTAAGAAGGCAGTTGCCAAGGTGCCACACATTAGGCTACTAAATAAGTTAGGAACCAATGATGTGGGGGGTAGCATATTAGTATCTAGAGAAGACTAGCGAACCAACAGGAGACAGTGAGTTAGGATAAGGAGAACATTTTTTGGATGGTCACCTGTAACTCATGTTACACAGGTCAGTGCTGGGCCATTATTATTTACATTATTGGATGAGGAAAGTGAATGTATGATAGGCACATTTGCAGATGACACAAAAACGTGTGGAAAGGTGAATAGTGAGAATGACAGAGACTGTACAGGGATACAGACAGGTTAAGCAAGTAGGCAATAACTTGGCAGATGGCATATAAATGTAGGAAAATGTAAGGTTATCCATTTTGGCAAGGAGAGGAACTGAATATTATTAAAATGATGAAAAACTGCAGACAGCCACAGAACAAAGGGATTTTGACACCTTGTCCATGAAACACAAAGTTAGCATCTAAGTTCAGTAGGTAATAGGGAAAGCAAATGGAATGCTGACCTTTATTTCAAAGGGAATGGAGCATAAAAGTAGAGAGGTATTGCTAAAACTATATAAGGCATTAATCAGACCACAGCTGGAACACTGAACCAGTTTTGATCCCTTATCTAAGGAAAGATATACCAGCGTTGGAAGCAGTCCAGAGAAGGTTCAATGAGCTGATACCAGGTTTGGAGGGATTGTCTGATGTGGAGAGGTTGAGTATATTGGGCTTGTACTCATTGGAATATGGAAGAATGAGGGGCAACCTCACTGGAACACACAAGATTCTTGAGGGACTTGACAGGCCAGATGCTGAAAGATTCTTTCCCTTTGTGGTAGAGTGAAGGACCAGAGGGCACAAACTCAGAATAAGGAATCACACATTTAAAACAGAGGTGAGGGGGAATTCCTTCCCTCAAAGGGCAGTGAATCTGTGAAATTCTTTAGCGCAGAGGGTTGTTGAGATTGGGTCATTAAGAATATTGAAAGGCTGGGACAGGCAGGGTTTTTTTTAAACCAGTAAGGGAATCAAGGGATATGGGAAAAAGGCAGAAAAGTGGAGTTGAGGATTGTCAGATCAGCCATGATCTCACCGAATGGCGGAACAGACCTGATGGGTTGCTCCTATGTATTATGGTCTTATGAGTAAATCATACCAATTTGCCAAAAACACAGGTTTCATTACTGTCTAACAATTGCATACAATTTTATGGGACTTTACAATAGAAATTGTTATAAAAAGCGTAAATAATTAAATTCACACAATGTCCACAACCGAGCGCTTAAGTTTAGATTCATCAAGTTGAGGCTAGGTCTTCAAGGAGTAGCTGCAAAATTTGTTGAGTATGTTGATGAAGAAAATTTAATGAGCTACATATTCTGCAAAAGGCATTTTTGACGTGCAGACACACAACAGTGGACAAGTCTAAATAAGAAACACCGGACCAAAACTAAAACCTTAAACATTTTAAATTGCAAGCAAAGTGAAAATGTATAATTTTGATCAGGTGACAAACTGAAGCTTAAGTTTACCATGACAAGATCATTATTAATATGGCAATATTGGAATTTAAAAATACTTGCAAGTACCAGAAACAGTCATAAAATGATGTTCATTCTAGCTTATGAATAAGATAACGACTCCTTACATTCTGAAGTCACATATGGTGGATACTGAGGTAAAGGTGGCGGCCTCAATCCCGGAGGTGGCATGGTAGGTACTGTACTGGTCCCAGAGACTTCAATGTTGTCTACACCACTTTTTGGGATTGGATGTGGTCCTATAAAAGATAACACACAATATTCAGCATTCGTATTGGCAAGTACAATACAGTGTAAAAACTAGACCCATTTGTTTGAAAATCATTCATAATGTTGCTTTTGATTGACGGCTTTATTTCAAAGGGATCACATCAGCCCTATTCACAGCTACTCTCACAATTTAGTAACAAAGCTACAATTACTACTTCAGGTATTTTACAGCCTTAAGAAAGATGTTCTTTTCGGCACAACAAAAATAATTTCATCATTCAAGCTGGGATTGAGTAAGTGGGTTTGTTATTTTATCTCATGTCTACTTTTACTTTTCCCCCCTACAAGAGCACTGACTTAGACCAGGGCATAGGTTTCATTGGCACCAATGTTACTTTTTTCCTTGCTTAATTGAAAACCTTTATGTTTCTGAGCCTTTTTACAAGTGGGGTCAGAAAAGGGCACACTGGTTGAAGTGGAATGGAGGATGTCCAATCCTCACTTACATTTTAGTGGAAGCAAAAAAATAAAAAAAAATTGATATACATTTTGCATAATACAGATCATAGAATCATAGAATCCCTAGAGTGTGGAAACAGGTCCTTCGGCCCAACAAGTCCACACCAACCCTCAGTGGATCCCACCCAGACCCATCCCCCTGTAACCCACTTAACCTACACATCCCTGAACACTATGGGCAACTTAGCATGGCCTGCACATTTTTGGATTGTCGGAGGAAACTACGCAGACACGGGGAGAACGTGCAAACTCCACACAGACAGTCGCCCAAGGGTGGAATCAAACCCAGGTTCCGGGCGCTGTGAGGCTGCAGTACTAACCACGGAGCGACTGTGCCACGGTCTTTAACAACCTCATTACAGCCCCAAATTTTTATTTACTTTTGCTTCACTGAAGCGATGTCTTTATGTTCTCATAAGGCTAAAAATTGTGAAGCTATTCGTGCAAGTCAGCAGAATGATGTTTTGTCAAATTATCTACTTGTTGAAAAGGCTTCAGCATATATCAGGGCACTACAAATGTAAAAAGGCAGGAAAGGGTTTCAAGAATAAAGTAATAAAATTCCCAATGCAGAAGTGTAATTAACACTTCTCAGTCAAGGTAAGCCACTGCCTGAAGATGCAAAGTCACAAATGAATGGGTTTTGCAGCATACTGTCTCTTTCCACACAGACTGAAATAGCAGGGTTTGCTGCCAACAAACAAATTACAAAGGAAATACATCTGGAGTTTTGCCAATGGCGATCCTGAAAGCAGTAAAAATATCCAATACCAATTCAATAGTTTTCAATTGGATGAAGAGTTCTGCAGATGTGTCAACAAGGTAACTGAGCAGCGAAAATGTTAAACCAGATCTCGAGACAGTCCCTGGCCCAAAAGTGGCAGTAACTTTGGGATAATCTATATTCAACATGGATGATCTTGATGTTAGCTGTAACTTACAACAGGCTTTTATTCTGGTCCGATATCACTCTCTGAATAATTGGCATTTCATGTGATGAAAATGACATAAAACTTCAATCAACTAAAATGGTTACTTTTTCTTGTATTAAAAATGTTACTTTGATCAGTCTTCCCACAACCATGTCATTTCAAAAATGAGTGCCCATCCCAATGCCCAAATAACTTTACAATTGAAACATATTGAAGTAACTCTGATTTTTAACTTTAGGTATCGTCATTTCTTGAGGGAGGAATAATGAATATTTAAGAGTCATCTTTTAACTAGACAATTCAACTTTTCTATCTCAGCAATTAAACAAACATTCAAAGGTAGAAATAAAGGAGAAGAGAAACTGACAATTATAGGCAGTTTAATATTGTTGACGAGAACACTTTTAAAACAATAATTCAGAAGAAGAGTTAATAGCCATTTAGACAAAATGTTGACTGATAATAAGAGTCAGCATAGATCCGTGCTGAGTAAATCAAACTTGAATAACCTGAGTTTTGGTTGAGGTAATGGAAAGGTTGAATGAGAACAATGCAGTGCATATAGTTTCAAAGGTGGATGATAAAGTATCACAATAGCCATTTAGCAAAATTTAAGCCATTGGAATAGTAGTAACAGTGTAGTTCTAAAACTGGCAGAGATACAAATGGTTATTGTTACAGTGAGTTACTATTTTTCAGGGCCACTCCTGCTTTGATACACATTAGCAAATTAGTCATGGGGCACAATTTCAAAATTTCCAAGTTGCATAAAAACTTGGAAGAGTACACAGAATGAGAAACATACAGACTGCATGAGGACACGGTTACAAAACTGAAGTGCATGTGACAAATGCGATTTGAAGAAAGCAAGTAACAGGAAGAGATGAGACTAAAATTGGAACGATACAGAGATTAGCATGGCCACTGCACAAGGATGACGTGAATATTCATGAAGCGTTCCATTCTCTGTATCTGAAGTTGACTGACCATATGGTTGAGGAAAAGAAAGCACAAGTTGCCATGAAGGGTGCTAAGAAAGCAGCAAAGATGGTACCAGTAAAGAGCAACAAGAGGAGAAGTAAGTAAGTTATGCCATGTAAATGTACAAATGATCAAGCAGATTCACCACAACACCAGCACCTCCAAGGCCATGAGCAATCATGGACTCATTCATCAATGATATTTCCCAGCACATCATAGGGGAAGCTTCCTGCCTGGCCAGTTACAAGTGCAGCACCATCAGCTCATGGGGAAATTCAGACTGCCATGTGCCTGCTGCTGCCCAGGGAGCTAGCCAAGCACGCTGTGTCAGAAGGCACAAAGAAGGTGACCAAATACACCAGCTCCATGTGAAAAAAACACACGGCAATGAAAATAAACGTACAAATTTAGAGGTTGGGTGCGGCAGGAAGAGGTGAAAAGACTTGGGAGAATTTGTGAATGAGTCTTGAAAGACAAATTAACAAAGCAGTCAATAAAGCATATAGAATTCTGGCTTTATTTATACAGCTACAGTTGCCAGGAGATTGTCCAACATTTGTAAAAGACAACTTCAGCCTCAGATGGAACATCCTTCCTAAAATGCAGTTCTGAAAATTGGAAGCAAAAGTCAAAATTTGAGAGATGGTATAGAAAAATTACCAGAATGGTCCCAGCAATGAGGAACTGCGTTAACATGGATAGCATGGAAAAGCTGGGATTGTTTTTAAAGCAAAAGGCTAAGAGGAGATTTGATACAGATTCTAAAATCGAAGGAATTAAGTAGAGCAAAGAAAGATAAACTATTTCCAGTGGCTGAAGGTTTAATAACAAGAAGGCACAGATTTAAAGTCATTGGCAAAATAACCAAAGGCACCAGAGAATATTTTTTTTTTGTGAAATGCTTGAAGGTTTGGAATCCACTAACCAACTGGACGGTGTAAACAGATCTGATGGTAGCTTTCATGAAGGAAATAAATAAATTCTTAACAGATGGAAAGAAATGCAGAAAAAGCTAAGGAATGAGATTAATTTGAATGTTTTTCCAAAGAGCATCTGGTTCTTTCAGACTAGATGGGATGAATGACCTCTTTCTTTGCTCTATGACTATTTCACAAAAACAGGAGATGACAACTGTAATATACAGAACTGGCTAGTTTTCAAGCAAAAAAATCTCTCTTGGGAAATCACATGTTAGCATGTTATAGACATTAAGTGATAATATATCATTAAATGCAAATCCCAAGTTACTACTGCAATTAAAAATGTATAATTTTTTTCAAAAGTAATTTTAAAAAGGTACTCACGATTCTACTGGGGGTTCCTGAGCTACAAAATTTAATACAGCAACTCACTAAACACATTTGAGATGTTGTCTTTGGCTGAGAAGCTTTCACATATTCATTTAACTGTTACTTTTTTTCTGATTTTATTTTTAAACTTTTGTACAATACTGCAAATCATCATGGAATGTTAAGCCAACCATCAAATTAACCTTACAAAGCATCCTCAGTTCTTGTACCTTCCTTACTTTTCCAAAAAAATAATCCCAGCTCTCTCATTAAATCTATTTTAGTTCACGGGTAATAATGACTTGAGTTTGCATTACTCAGGGGTGTTTCAAACAACCAAGCATGTTAAAAAAACCGTAACAGAGATGTTTTAAACAAAACTGCATCTTCAGAAAGATTTTAATATTCAGAAGAATACCAATATGTGGCATGCACCACAGTTAGAGTACTATAATGCTTAGCCCTCAAATTATAGAATCCATACAATGTGGAGGCAGCCCATTCATCCCATTGAGTCTGCACAGACCTCCGAAGAGCATCCCACCCAGACAAACAGCACCCCCCACCACCAGCCTTTCCCTGTAACCCTGCATTGCCCATGGCTAAGTCACATGGCCTGCAAATCCCTGACCACTATGGGGCAATTTAGCATGGTCAATCCACCTAACTAGCACATCTCTGGACTGTGGGAGGAAACCACACCACTCAGAGGAAACCCATGCAGACATGGGGTGTATGTGCAAACTCCACACAGTCGCCCAAGGTAGAATGCTAGAACTGAATCTGGGTCCCTGGCGCTGTGAGGCCACAGTGCTAACCATTGTGCCACCCCAATGTCAGACTTGTTTTGTGACTAATCCAGTAACTTCCTCTGTAATGACTGTAAGTTGTACACCTTTTCAACTTTATCACAATTGCATTCCTAACACTACATGTTGCTATCCTTGCTGGAGGTTGTAGACTTGCTCACCGAGCCGGAGTGTTTGACTGCCGATGTTTTGCCACCCTGCTAAGTAGCATCATTAGTGCGCCTCTGGTGAAGCGTGGGTTTTGTTCCCAGCAGTTTCAGGGTGCTTGTCATTTATATGCCTCGGTTTGCTGGGGTGGTTGGCATCGCTTCCGGTTCGGTTTTTCAGTTTGTATATCAAGTCAGTTCAAGGTGTTTGTTGACGGAGTCCCAGTTGGATTGCCAGGCTTCCAGGAATTCCCTGGCATGTCTCTTTTTGGCTTGTGCTATTGTGGATTTGTTGTCCCAGTCAAATTCATGTCCTTCTTTGTCAGCGTGTATTGAAACCAGTGAGAATTAGTCGTGACTCTTGGTGGATAGTTGGTGTTCGTGTATCCTTACTGTCAGTTTTCTTCCAGTTTGGCCTATGTAATGTTTCTCACAGTTCTAGCATGGTATTTTGTATATTACGTTAGTTTTATTAGTTGTAGGTATAGGATTCTTTACGTTCATCAGTAGCTGTCGCAGTGTGGTTGTTGGTTTGTGGGCTACCCTGATACCTAGAGATCTGAGTAGTCTTGTGGTTATCTCTGATGTGCCTCTGATCGACGGTAGCGTGGCTAGTGTCCCTGGCTGTGTTGTGTTTTCTTGTTGTGGTCTGTCACAGAGGTAATGGCGGATTGTGCTTTTTAGGTATCCATTCCTTTTAAAAACTCCGTGCAAGGGATCCTGTTTTGCTTTGCGCAATTCTGGGTTGTTGCAGCGTGTTGTGGTTCGTTTGAATAATGTCCTGATGCAACTCCGTTTAGGGTGTTGGGGTGGTTGCTGGTGTAATTAAGTATCCAGTCCATATGTCTGGTCTTTCTGTATATGCTAGTCTAGAGTTCCCCGTTCTACCATTATGGCTAGAAAGGTTAATCAGTTATTGTTCTCTTCTTCTTTTGTGAACTTTATTCTGGTGAGGATGTTGTTTATGTGCCGGTGGGTTTCTTCTATTCTCGTGCGTTTGATAATCACGAAGGTGTCATCTACACAGCGGACCCAGAGTTTGGGTTGTACAGTGGGGAGCACTGTCCATTCTAACTTTGCATTACCGTTCTGCAATCAGTTCTCATATTGGGGAGCCCAGTGGTGTTCCATTGATTTGTTTGAATATACGATCGTTGAAGGTGAAATGGGTTGCATAGCACAGATCCAGCAGTTTCAGGGCGCTGTTCTTGTTGGTGTTGTGCAGTGTCTGCCTTCCTGATTCGTCCAGCAGTGTGGCAATTCTCAATTGACGAGATAATGATATCCTTCGACGTAACAGCGCTACTTACATACATAAACATCGAACTAGCCAAAGAGGCAATTGCCACACTGCTGGACGAATCAGGAAGGCAGGCACCCCACGACACCAACAGCATCAACAAGAACAACACCCTGAAACTGCTGGATCTGTGCCTCACAACCCACTTCACCTTCAACAACCATATAGTCAAATAAATCAATGGAACATCAATGGGATCCCCAATATCAGAGCTGATTGCAGAAGCAGTAATGCAAAAGGTTAGAACGGACAGCGCTCCCCACTATAAAACCCAAACTCTGGGTCCGCTATGTAGATGACACCTTCATGATAATCAAACGCATGAGAAAAGAAGAAACCCACTGACACAAACAACATCCTCACTGGAGAAAAATTCATAAAAAGGAAAGAACAATAACTACTACCCTTCCTAGACTTAACGGCAGAAAGTGAGAAAAACAGGGAACTCCAGACTAGCATATACAGAAAGACCACACATATGAAACAGATAATGAATTACACCAGCAACCACCCCAACACCCATAAACGGAGTTGCATCAGGACATTATTCAAATGAGCCACAACACACTGCAGCAACCCATAACTGCGTAAAGCAGAACAGGAGCCCTTATACGGAGTTTTTAAAAGGAATGTATACCCAAAAAGCACAATCTGCCATTACCTCCGTGACAGACCATAACAAGAAAACACAACATGGCCAGACACACTAGTCACCCTGTCGTACATCACAGACACATCAGAGATGACTACAAGACTACTCAGACCCCTAGGTATCAGAGTAGCCCGCAAACCAACAACCACACTGCAACAGCTACTGACGAACATAAAGGATCCCATACCTACAACCAATAAAACTAACATAATATACAAAATACCATGCAAGAACTGTGAGAAACATTACACAGGCTAACTGGAAGAAAACTAACAATAAGAATACATGAACAACAACTAGCCACCAAGACACACAACCAATTCTCACTGGTCTCAATACACACAGACAAAGAATTTGACTGGGACAACACATTCATAATAGCACAGGCCAACAGAGACATGCCAGGAATTCATGGAAGCCTGGCATTCCAACCAGAACTCCATCAACAAGCACATTGAACTGTACCTGATATACAAACCACTGAAAAACAGAACCAGAAGTGATGCCAACCACCCCAGCAAACCAAGGTATATAAGTAACAAGGAGGACAGAACACCGACGCTTCACCAGAGGCGCACTGATGATGTTACTAGCAGGGTGACAAAACGTCTGCAATCAAACACACCAGTTAGGCGAGCAAGTCTACAACCGCATCCACAACCTGAGCTACAAAATCTTCTCAAAAAGCTATCCTTGCTTCTAAGGAAGAATGTCAGATGTACATCCATGTTTCTTAATTCACACTTCCTATGCTGCTCAGCGATTATCTCACAACTGAAATATAATGCTAATTCACAGAAGTAAAATTAAATAGTTGCCACAAGGACAAAAGACCTACTTTAAGTGAACATGAGTTATTACTCAAAAACAACCAAAAGCTTACACAGAATTAACTAAAGTTCACTGAATACATCAAATATGTTTAACTGAGTAGTATTTTACAAAAAAATAATGCTGTACTTGCCAGATACAGGATGGATGCCAGGTGGTGGTGGCTGTCCAGGTGGCGGTAATGGGGGCAACCTCAGGTTTGGAGGAAGACCTGGTAAGGGTGGAGGTAAGTGATGCCCTGGTGGAGGCAACTGATGTCCTGGGGGAGGTAAGCCTGGAGGTGGCGGCGGAAAAGGAATCATTCCAGGAAGAGTCACATCTTCCACGATTAATGGGTCATTCCCATGGTCAAAGAGGCAGAGGTCACCACGCATACAGAAACCTTTCTCTGAAAACAAGGCATGAAATTCAGTACAATGCTTTCTGTGAATTATTTCTAACATATCACTCAGAGTTGGGCACAAAAGGGATTCCACAGTTTGGGGAAAGAAAAAGTAATTTTTTCAGCAATCACCTGATTGGAGTGTTACACATGCATTGCACAGGTCCATAACCACAAATGGCTGACAAATTTATTTTCAATGAACAACATACTACAAATATTTTGCGAGGAATCTATAGTATTTGCTGATTAGTGAAGATTTCCAAAAAGTATCCTGCACTTTTGACACTCAGCTCAGTAGGCATGCATGATGCAGGACATGGCATAGCAATGCTTTTCAGTTCTCAAAGTAGTAAAGCAAGTTGAATAAACAAATTATATCTCAGAAAAAAAACCCATTAAATTCTACTTGAAAAACACTGACTTGGATCTATCTTTATTACAGAGAATTACATAAATATCCTACAATTAAACAGATCATTAGGCCTTACCAGTCTATGCCAGTGTCTACCTTTCGTTCGAAACTTTTCCCAATTATCTTCCTACAAATTTATTTTAACCTTCTATTCCCTTCTATGAATGTCCTTCTTCCTCCTACTTCATCTATTCACTTAACCATGATACATGGTAATGACTTCGACATTCTAGTCACTCTTAGGGTAAAGAAGTTTCTTCTGAATTTCCTGATGTCTCTCTTACATTTATATCCTCTAATTGTGTTCTTCGGCACAAATGGAAACATTTTCACTGCACCCACACTATCAAAGTCTTCATAAATTGCAAATAGCTCCATCATACCACCCTTCAGCATTCTTTTTCCAGAGGAGCTTTAATTTATAGGCAGATTTCAATTGGATACACCACAGCTTTATTTGCCTAGCCATTGCATCGTGGATATTAATGCGGAGTTTGCTATATAGCCATTTCAGTGCAGGATATCTTGACAATATTCAATAAACTTCAAATTGCAACAGTTGGAATTGAATACTGACCCAAAACATTTTTGCCAAAGAAAGCTGTGCATACTTCTTACCATCATAGTCTCTGCATCGACGCTTTGGGGCTGCATTTCTACCAAAGGAATTTGTGCCTGTGTGATTGTTATAGAAATTAGACCAGCTCTCTGTAGTGTTGTCAGAATGGTGGGCAGGAGCTACCACAGTTACTGCACTCGGAGCAGCATGTGCTCCAGAAAAATATTGTTCAGTTGAACTGTTCGATGATGTGCAACTTGGAACATAAATGTTCTCTGAGCCCTCATTTCTTTCCAACTCAAACTTGGATCTGTCTTTATGTTGCTCTGTTCATTTGAAAGAGAGAAAAAAAAGTTAAGCAAATATTGTTTGCAAGCTGTATGTAATTTTCAAAATAAGATTCAATACCAGAATGTGCGAGGTTGTCAAATTAATATGTAGCAAAGCTTCTACCAGAGTCCACTTGCCAACCAACAAGCACTCTCCTTTCATACAGTACGTTAATTTCCCTTTACTTTTAGATTTCTTGGGAATTGTCCTGATAATGTGCAAGATGAAAAGCTTTGACAAAATGTCTTTTTCTCAGCAATACCCAAATTACTTATAAAATCAACACTCAATCAAACTATTCCTTTAAAATTATGCTTGCAGTCCTATGAAAAGCTAAGTGCCATTCATATTTGCTTTAAAATCCAGCAATTATATGGACTGCAACATAATTTATTTTAAATCTTGGAATATACTACCAACAGCCATATCCAACTGTCTTTCAACAGAAAACAGCTCACTGAGCTTTGCAATAGCAAGGATATCACACCTCCCGTAAAATTTGCAATTCATTAAATTGCTTCTTGTGCGCAATTAAATTAATCAATGGGATTTAGCTGCATCTCTTGCAAAACAAGAAGCTAGCAATTACCTTATCATCATTTTTTCAATGACATTCTTTGTTCAGTACTTAAGCTAAACATTGAGAATCCACGTTATGATTTGCTTTAATACTAGGTTTCAATGTGAAAACATCCACCAAACTTCAAAATGAAACTGATATTATTCAAAATATTTTGTAAAGAGAAACACAAAATTTCTTAGTCAGTCTCGTAAGAATGGGTCATAGTAACTATTCAAAACTATAAATAATCCATTGACAATTACAGTTTAAATTTTTTTCTTGAACAAAAACAGAAGTTGCTGGAAAAGTTCAGCAGGTCTGACAGCAAAAAAAATCAGAGTTAACGCTTCAGGTCCGATGACCCTTCCTCAGAACCGATGGTAGCTGGGAAAACATCAGCTAATAAGGAAAAAATAGGGAGGGGGATGGGGTAGGGAGTAAATTATAGGATAGAACCCAAAGAGAGGGAAGAGCAGTTAGACTAAGGAGTTGATAATGATTTGGCTAGCATCAAAAGCTAGGAATTCCCACCAGCATTCACAAATATAGAACATTAGAATTTCTTCATGTAAAATGGGCTTTATCTGCAAATTTTTGAGAGTGGCTGGTATCTTCCATCCCTTCAGAAAGGCAGTCACTTTCTAAACGGACCATACCACCTAATGTTCTGGTTGAGAAATTATGAAGCCATAACATATACAGCTGAGATACCGACGGCTAGGGACATAATCCAAAATCCAGAGGGACCATGCTGTTCTCTTGCAATACAGCAAAGTCTCTTAACGTTAAGAGAAGAATACCCTTGTAAACACTGTGACATAACTTTCTTGATAGCATTACAAGTCACTGCACACCATGCGACCAATTTACACACTTAACAATGGAAATTGGCATAGCTGATCTTTTTCAATACTTAATGTATAATTCTTGCATATTGGTTATCAGCTATAGAAAGACTGTTCTATGACTGTTCAAAGACGGATTCTTGGTTCATTTTCTGCTGGTGCTTCATCCCGAGGTATCAAATTAAGTGCCTTGCAATAGGACAGTCTGAACTATTTCCAACCTTCAATACCTGATGGATTCAATCATCAGCAAGAATTCTGATGGAAAAAACAGCAACAGGTGGGATACAGGATAAATACTCAAATCGATTCATCTCCAATTGTGTTTAGCATGGCTAGGTGTGCACCACCCAAAATGTATTTTAAAGGAATTGTTTCTTTTTGGAAAGCAATAATGAGTCATTGACCTGCACCTTAATTACCTGTTCTTTGTGCATTGGAAACTATACAGGTTGAAATAAAAAGCAAAGTGCTTGAGGAGAAAGTGTTAAGGATAGTGGAGTAGAAATATAGATAAAGACTAATTGCTAATACTAAGTGGTGTTAATTGTAGAAAATGCCAGCTCTGTTGTGATCAAATCCACACAAACATGAGACCATGCGTGCGCAAGTGTGTGTGTATCTATCAGAGATAGAGAGAGAAAGAAATAAAATAAATAAAATAGAAGTTGGTGCTCATGGCCTGAGGTCATTGAACTCAATGTTGAATCCTAAAGTGCCTAAGCAGAAAATTAGGTGCTGTTCCTCTACCTTGCATTGAGTTTTGCTGGAACACTACAGCAGGCTTAGAACAAAAATGTTAGCATGACAGTAAGATAGTTTATTTAAGACAGCAATCAATTGGAAAGTCAGGATCATTCTTCGCAACCGAGCAGAGGTGCTCTACAAAGCAGTCATTCAGTCTGCATTTGGTCTTGTCAATGCAGAAAAGACTATTTGTGAGAGGTGAATACAGTACATTATATTGAAATTTGGACAGGTAAATCACTTCACTTGGAAGGTGTGTTCAGGGCCTTGGTCAGTGAGGAGGGAGGTGGTAAAAGGGGAGTTGTGACACTTGTTATAATTGTGTGGGAAGGTGCCATGACGCAAAAGGGGAAGTTGGGAGTGGGTGGGAGTGTTGAACAGATGTTAGAATTGGCGGAGAAGTGGACCAGGACGTCACAGAGAATTATCCATACAGGATGCTGACAGGGAGGGGAGGGAATGTGCTTGGTTGTGCCATTCTGCTGGATGTGGCAGACTCCCTTGAACTTTTGATCTGGGCACCCTCACCATTTACTCCTCCTCTCCCTATGTCAACAGCATAAAACCATTGTTTTCTAGCCCCTTTCAGTTCTGAAAGAGTCATAGCGGATTCAAAATTTAACTCTTTGTCTCTCCATAGGTGGTGACTGACTTGCTGAGTTTCTCCAGCATTTTGCATTTCTATTTCAGATCTCTGGCATCGGCAGTACTTTGCTTTTATGTAGGTTGAATACTGCACTAAAAAAAAACTACACCCTAGAGGTAAAAAGACAAATCACCTGATTCCAGTTGCCTAAACACAAGCATTGTTTTGAGATTCAAATTAAAATATTAAAAAAAATGCCCAAGTACTTTAGTTAAGGACGCCATCTAGATCTGGGAAAATATCAACCACTCTGGATCTCCTTTCTCCAGGCCCCTACAATCACTGGCATGTCATAAACCCCACAGTACAACTCTGCAGAGGGCTGTAGGTTAATGACTGAAGTACGGCAATTTAATGGTTATGGTACTAACCGATCAACCCAGAAATTATGACTTTCAATTGCACGATATAAATTTCTGATACTAAACTGAAGAAATATGTAGCAGCCAAAGAGCTATGGTCCGGTATAGATGGTAAGATTTACAATTCTAAGAAAATTCAAAAGTCACTAGCTGCAAAATAATAAATTGTTAGCTGGTGTTTTACATGGCCTCAGGGCCTCCCAAAGTGTTTTGCTGCCAATGAAGTACTTTTGAATGTAGTTGCTATAGTAATGTATGAAACAAAGCAGCCAATTTGTAAACATGTAAAATTCTACAACAGGTACATGCTATGATCGGGTGACCCTGTTTTGGTGAAAATGTTTGAGAGATAAATAAATATTGGCCAGGACCCTGGGTAAACTCTCTTGCTCTTTAAATAATGGCTTGGAGTTTTTGCATCAAGAGGCCAGACATGGTTTTAGTTTAATACCTCATTCAAAAGAGGCCATAAAACGTAGGCCTTAAAAGTTACAGAATCTTCTAACTCGGAGGTTAAATGATGCTATTACTGAGCTCTGCTATAACTGATATTCTAGTAGGTACTATGAATCGGATTTCCAGCTACTTTTTTTAAAAAATCAAATCCGACTGCCACTATCATGCATTTGATAGGTAGCACAGATCACACACATGCAATGATTCACACAGGGTGAAGCATATACAACTATTAACATTAATGGCAGAAAAATTAATAAATTTGATCCAAATGGCACTTCAGTGTAAGGAATTCAAGGTGTGACATGAAAAGCCAGCACAGGTGAATTAGGCAGAAAAGTACAGATTTTCTCAGTTTCTGACACGATCCACCGAGTCTTCCTACTTGCACTCTGAGCAGTGACAAGTGGGATGTTTATATTCAAGATACTTGTTCAACTCTGTCCGGAAGATATCCAAACCACTTTTCAGCAAAACGTTACTTTCTAAAATCATTCTAAAACCAACCATCTGTTTAACAAAATAACCATATGATCTGTCCAAATTTGTCTCTCTTCAATTCATACTTAACTTCCCAAATACTCCAAAATATTGCTCAATGTTCTTCAACCTTATAATTTGGAAGACTCTAACACATTGTCCCTCAATTTTCTCTTCCAACTACAGTTCCAGCTGAATCAATTCCCATAAAAACATTTTACTCTCTAGATCTCTATTTGTTGTGAGTGCTCTGCTTTACATCATTTGCTGATGCAGACTGAACAATGTTAAGATTTCTTTTAATTTACACTATTTCTTAATTTGCACTTAGGGACTTTCAACAGGAACTAAGAACCATTTCATTTCATGTTGGATTCCTTTTTTCTTTCAATATGTTCCAGCTCAAAGATACAATTTCACTGTTTTTGTGTATCTTTAGGCACAACTTCATAACTAACTGTGTTAAACTGCATCTTCAAACTACCTGGCGACATAGTTCTAAAATTTGTTCCCATCTTCTATCATATGAGCCAAACTAGTTTTGTGTTCTCATTCTTGTTTCCAAATCCCTTCATAATTTGACACCCTAGTTGACTCTTCCAGCCCACAATCCTCCAAAATTTCTGCTATCCTTCAATTCTGCACTTTCTCTCGCACTTGCTTGATTTTTAATTGCTCCACCTTTGATTGGAAGTCTTCATCGTCACAGCGTCTGTCTCTGGCAAGTGCAATCTTTTTCTGACTGGCTACGTAAAAGTGAAGAATACTGAACAACCCAGCAGAATCCCACAACTCCATTCAACATAGCTTTCCACCCAGAACATTTGCTGCTAAACAAACACTCTATATCCTATGGCTTAGACAAAACTCAAACCATGCCAACAAGTTGACATCTGTT